GATATATATAAAAATTAGAAATAAACAAAAGTTCCATTTTGTAAAGAGATGTTTTGCCTAATAGCAGATTGCTTAAAAACTAAAATTTATACATTGCAACTGTTGTATACAATATGACATGATTCACAATATTGATTTACTTTTGGATCGCATTCATCAAATAGATAAATTGAAAAATAGTTTTAAAATATAAAGAAATATACATAATCCGATTTATTGGCGGGAGCACTTAAAGCAATGCAAGGCTCCATTTGTCCACTAACAAAACATTTAACAACAGGCGATACAATCTTCTTGCCAGTCACAATGATAGGGTATTGCAAAAACGAACAAACACAAAGGTTTCGGAAAATTGGATAGGGATAGGGAGATGAAAAGCAAGACGTAGCAACACGTTTCAACTTAAACGCTAGGAAAAGAGAACTTTATGCTTAAGACTAATTGTGTGTGTGTTTTCAATGTATGTGGGTATGTGTGTCTACGTGTACGTATTAATTTATATAGCAAGCAAATTTTTGCAATAAACATTCATATGGTTATGCTCGTTAGCCCTAATCCCTTGTTTTGGTATTTGGCATACGTGTTGGAGCACGCGCAGCGTTCTTCACTGATGGGTATCGCCATTCGAGGGATGCGGCAGACTGTAGTTTAGTAATAGGCAGCTGCATTTGAATAATTCTGCGAATATGCCTGCGAATCTATGGGGCGGTGGGAGGTCGCAAATTTGATGGTGATGCATATGCGTAATTTAAAATTATATTTCCAACATTCACTTACCATAGCCGGCATAGGCGCGTTCATCGTAACTAGCGCTCTGCTGACTGTAATCCGCCTGGCCAGCTGAATTGTAATCAACGGCAGCCGAACCATACTGCTGGCTATAGTCTTGGCTATATGGCTGATAGCGCGTGTCCGGCTGGGTGGCATATCCCGTGGAGCTGTTAATAAACATGGTTAATTTTAACAACCCATTTTTCCAAGCTGTGGCTATAACTAAGTTAAACTGTAACTTACTTGTAACCCTGATATTGACTCTGATCGTACTCGGTGCCATGATGCGACGCATAGCTGCTGCTGGCCGGCGTGCTCGACTGGGTTGTGTGTGCTGCATAGCCGCTGCTCTGGCCATAGCCATTGTAGCCTTGCTGAGCAGTTGCCGAAGCGCTGTAGCCGCTCTGTGAATATGGATCGACCTGCTGTGTCTGGTCGTGCGTCTGATAGCCACCATGATGACTGCAGTGAACGTTGGCATTAATATTATATTCAATTTGAGTGTTTTTTTTTTAAACTTTACTTCATATTTGGGGTAGCGTGAGGACAATTCCTGTCAGATTTCAAATCTAATGTTACTTTCCGCTATACACTCTATACACAGTTATTATACCCATGTCCAGTATATTATAGTTTTGCAATGAAATAAGTAGCGCATAGAAGAGGCACCTCCGACCCACTGTTTAGTGCCAAGTCTGTGTTTCTGTTTCTATGCAAACTAGTCCCTCAGCTTTAAAACTATCGTCATGAAACTTAGGAAAGGTCCGTCTTTCTGTTGCAATGTCATATATCCGTCTTGAGAATGTTCGATCGGAAATTAAGTTCTTATATGGACAAATTTTTTGTTTATTAAGATGATCTTGATCTTGACAAAACCTAAAATTTATAAGTATTACTGTGCTTCCTACATATGATCAGGGAAACTAGCTATCAAAATAATGATTAAGAGGATGCAGGTAGACATTAAAGAAAGGCTAATTGTTAACCAACACATTAAAACTGTCACTCGTCCCGTAAAGTTATTGAACTTACCTTGGCGCTGGCGCGTGATGACTGGGCGGGGAGCCATATGTTGTTTGGGGCATATGCTGGGATGCCGAATGATACTTTGGTGTCATGGGCCGCTGGCCATAGGGTCCGCCCTCGTATCGTCCACGCTTAGGGCCTGGACCTCCGGGAGCGCCGCGTTTGAGAGCTGGTACCGGTGCAATTTGTGTATTGACATTATGTGCCTGTTGGTGATGTTGCATGGGTGGCCGACTCATACCTTGATTGTAGCCACCGCCGCGTCCGCGCATAGAGCCGCGACGAGGCATTCCTCCATGATCGCCTCCTGGTCCGCCCATGGAGCTAGTATGATGTGAGTGCGGATACATGCCATTGCCGCCGCTGCCGTTCATGTGTGGATTGTAACCGCCGCCTCGTCCGCGACCGCTAAATGGACCGCCGCGGCCTCGACCCCGACTTATATATGGAGGCGGTCCTCCACCGTTGCTACTACTGCTGCCAGGCGCACCGCTTGCCACGTGTGAGTTAACCGCTGTTGTGCCTGTGCCGGCTGCTGCTGCATCCGTACCATCTTCACCTGCTGTTTCGCCTGTCTGCTGCTCACCAGCTGCTGCAGCTGTGGGCACCGGCGATACAGTCTTGTTGTTATCGGCGCCCGTGTGCTGTTTCGGCGCTGCATGGGTTTTGATATGTAGCTATTCTAAGCAAATGTTGTTAGATTTTGTGTACTTACGCTGTTGGTAAATTGGCGGGCGTCCACCTCTCATGCCCATTGGAGCACCGCGTGGTTGAAAGCCGCCGCCACCACGGCCTTGATAGCCCAGTCCACCTCGAGGACGCATGCCGCGTGGAGGTCCTTGCATCATACCCTGCATAGGCGGCCCACCGCCGCCCATGCCACCACCGCGCATTCCACCCATAAAGTGACCGCGACCCATGCCCCGTCCACGTCCCCGCTCGAAGCCACCACGCATGGGTGGGCCTCCGCCGCGGCCTCTGTACCCACCGCCACGTGGCCCACCTACCGGGGGGGCCGCTACTTGTGCAGCTCCTTCCATGCTCTAGCTGAGGTTATAACAACAACAATGGCAATGCTACTTTTAGTTATTTTACACAGCCCGCAATACTGAGAGACAAACACATACACACACACTACACTCGGACGCGCACACACGCTAGTCGTTTTCAGTTGTCACGAATTATTAAACCATACAAAGCATTAACAATAGTTTTGTATTATATGCCGCTCTTTTAACACTATTTTACTACTTTTCTTTGTGGGTAAACTATTTTTGCAGTTACCTAAACATAAAAACGCGTCCGAGTAAAGTGAAAAAATATGGCGGCGACTATTGATTTTTTCGTGTGTGCAGTGTTAGATTTTATCGATAGAATTATTAGACAAATTTTGTATCGATATTTTCGGTGCTGTTAAATGCAGTTGTAAGGACGTTAAGCAGAACTGGCGCTGACATAAACAAACAAGTTTTCCACGTATTCAGCATTTTCCAAGCTTAAATTGCGTGTTTTATTTGTTATTTGAAATGTCGTCGTGGATAACGGGGCTGGCGGATAAGGCAGAGAATATACTAAATAAAATTGACCAGAATGCTGCTACGGCCTTGCACATAGAAGCTGGTCCAGCGTTAGATGCTATGAAGAACAGCCTAACCAGTAGTACACAATCTTTAAAAACCACACTCTCTCCGGCCAAGCGTTCCACAAGCAACAGTAGCACACCCATGTCCTTGTCCATGGTTGGCAACAGCGCCTCTAGTGCCAAAAGCGAGGGCTCCCATGTGGTGACCACAGAGTTGCGACAAAAGTTGACCACCTCGGCCAGTTTCTCAGTCAATTCAGACAACGGGAACGGTATGGACACCCATGAATTGGCGGCATTTAAGATCGCTCTCAACGAGATTACTAGCGAGCGCGATGAGTTGCGTTTGCGACTTGATGAGCTAAACCACGACAGTGAGAACCTTGCCCTGAAGCAGCGGGTACAGGAGTTGGAAAGTCTAACTCAAACGTTATCTGAGGAACGCGATAGGGCTGTCCACGAGCTTAACGAGGCGCAAACCGCTCACATGGCCTACGTACACTCCATCTCTGAATTAGAAACGAATCTCGCCAAGCTTCAGCAAGAATACGTAAGCACAGCACACAAGCTACAAATGCAAACCAAGGAGACGGATCAACAGCGCCTAGAGCTGCACGAGTATCGCGTCAAAGCGCAGCGTGCACTGCAAGCGAAAGATGCGTTAATTGCCGAGCTAAAACAAAAACCGATTGCAGCAGGCGCAGAATGTGAACTGGCTGCCAAGGACAGTGAAACTCGTTTTCTTCAAATCGAATACGATGCTCTGAAGCAGGAGCTGCAGCTAGCCAGCGAAGAGCAGCAGAAACTACGCATTCAGCTGGATGACTACATTGCTCTGGAGCGCCAACATGAGTTGGAACTCGGCATCGCCCGTCAGCGTGAGCAGTCACTCACCAGAGATCTTCGTACAGCACGTGAGCACAACATGGCCATCGAATCGGAGCAGCGCATGCTTACACAGGAGTTAGCCTCGCTGCGTCAACAGATGAGCAATCAAATGGCCGCCGCTGCCACACGCCTGCAGGAGAAGGAAAAACAATTGCAACAGCAACGGCAGCTTGTAAGTGAGACCGGATTTACAAGTGCAAAGACTGACTACGAAAACCGCTTGCAAGCCCTAACTCAATCGCTGGTCGAGCGTCAGGGTCTGCTGGAACGGGTCACTGCGGAGCGTAATGCGTTGCGATTGCAGCACGAGAACATGCAGACACAGCTGCAGCAGAGCATGCACTCTCTGGAGATGGGTCATCAACGTGGCAGCTCCAGTTCGCGCAATACGCTGCTCTCCAACAGCACTGATGATGGTAAGTTTATGATTGGCTTCTGGCATGTGGCTATAAATTGGACAATTAAATTAAGCTTTATTTCCAGTCAAGGCACAGTTCCCGCTGCTCATGCATCCCAGCCCGTTTGACAATCGTGTTGCACGTCGTTTTAAGCGTGCCCTGCGCCAAGCAGACTCCGTAGGCATACGTGTGGGCGCCTTTCTACGCCGCTATCCAATGATGCGCATTTGCATAATTGTTTATGTAGCGTTGTTGCATCTCTGGGTTATGTTTGTGCTGCTTTCCACAAGTCCCAATTGAATGGTTAAACGAACACCCGTTACACATTTTTCGGATTCTAATTTCAAATATTGCATATTATTTAGTATTATTTATAAAGATATATGTTACATAAGTTAGTGGTTCAATAGTGTGTTGCCAAAATTGATAACACTTTTTGTGTATAATGTATTGCTTAGAGCTGTTTGCTCACAACAAAAATAAAAGAAAAAAATTATCTATCAAAATTTAAATTCAATAAACATCTCGGCTATGTACAAACTATGGTTACGAAAATTGCAAGTAGCTAAGCTTTAAACAGTAAGCAAACAAATAACAAGACAAGAAAAATTCATTCTACATGTCGAAAGTCAAGTCACAGTTCCGATATTGCATATTGATTTTAACTATATATATAGGCGTTACAGTAAGTACCGATTACCCTATATCTGTATTACATATTTAAGTCAACAAGCACTCGTATACGTTGGGCCTGTCAACAGGTCAGGCCATATCGCGCTGAACCAGAGAGTTGAAATGGAGTTAGCATCCATAGAGAGAAAGAGAGACAACAAAAGAGAGTTTTAGTAGTACAGACTTTTGGGGCGATTGGCGTAAAACAGGCGCTATATACCCCGCAAACGTGTATATCAGTCATCGGCATAGTAGCTGACATAGACAGCATCGCCACCGATGCTAATCAGGCACTGACCCTGTAACAAATTAGAAAAGATGCATAAGCACATATAAATAAATCGGTTTTTATATATATTACCTGATTCTTGTGCTGATTATCAAATAACATCAGTTCGGTCAAATAAAAGGAGACCATCGCATTACCTCCTAGTGAAGCAATATGGGCGCGCACCACGGCCAGCAGCTCAGTGATGAAGCCATGCACGAATCCGCTAATGCCACCATATTCGCGAATGGAGGTACTCTCCCTAATGAAGAAGAAGTTCAGGTTGCCCAAATACTTTTCAATCCGTCCACCTGGTATGAAGCTAAGTGGAGTCAAGTCCACTCCATGACGATCGCGTAGCGGGAACTGTTTAGAAACATCCAAAGAACTGAATTGAGAACAAGAAGAAGAAACAATATTCCACTTACATAGCGATTGCGCGGCGCTGGTGCCGTGTTGAGCGGCTTGGCTGGCGGCAAAGCTGTCGCTAAATTATTTAATCGCGATGGCGAAGTCTTTCGCACTTTGAAAGAACTCATGCCGAATGGAGGTATTGCTGAGCTGGTCGGTGTGGGAGTATCGACCATTTGATCTTCATCCAGCGGAAAAATGTAATCCTCTTCTTGCAGCATTCGCTTGCCATTTAGTTCAGGCTGCGATTGGGTTTCATGGACAGCGGCCACTGGCTGCGTTGCGGCATCATTGAAGCCATTCTGCAGCAGTGCCACCGGAGCTCCCCGGCGTCGATATTTCATTTTGTTGGCATCGCTCAGACCCATGGCCATGCCAGTGACAAGCAATTGGATTTGGTCCTATGTGAGCGTGAAGTATTAGTAAATATTTAACGAGTCCTTTTTTGAAATGCTTACCGTTTCAGGCAAATCCAATCTAAAACGCAGATCGCATATTGCACAGGGTATCATTGTGCGCAGCTTAAAATAGATGGTCTGTAGAAGTCTGTGGAAATATACGAAATATAAAAATTATTCAATTAATTGTCAAATTTGAATAGATTATTTGGAAATAGAATAAGCAGGTTATTTCCCTAAGAAGGGATTTTCATAAAAACTGTGAGCCCCCCTTAATTGAATTTAAACAAAGATCTTTGAAAATGAGTTTGAGTCCGATCGGATGGTAACCAAAAAAGTTTCAAACAAACGTTTTTCGCGATTTTCCACACTTGCGGGCGAAATTTCTCAAAACGCCGTCTTAGCATGGACCTGCACCACATAAGGTATCTACGGTGTTGGGTGTGTGTTGATCACCAATGAGTCAGTCAGTCGCGAGAAACAGTTTTATATATAGACACAACTGTAACTGAAAGGTAAGACCTTACGAGCCAACTTATTTTGTGTAACATAACATAACAGCCATACCTAACATTGATATTCTGTCATGTAAAATGTAATCGCATAAATGTAAAAACTTCAAGTTTAGTGTATGTATCCACAGGATTCTTACTTGTTAAAAGTATGATTAGATTATATAAAGATAATGATATTTTTGGTAAGGTTTGAATTAATACTCACCGTTGAAAGTGTTTTGGAAATCCATTTACGCTTTGGCCCACCTCGAGGCGAGCACGCCACACTTGCGTAAACATTTGAAGGTTTTTAACACCATCCAGCTCCAGCATACCTGGCACCTGTTGCGTGTTTACGACATGAAAGCCCTCAGGTGGATATGGTTCCATGAGCAGCGATATAATTTCTAAATCCTCAATATCATCAACTTCTAGTACACACATCTCTTTGTTTCCGCAGTTCAAATCGATTTCATTCATTTCCTCATCATCCGAATCATCAGTATCCGAATGCTTTTCTCCCGCGGCACCACTAGCGCTGACTATGTCAGGATCCATGCTTTTTAACTGATAAATCTCTTGGTTGCGCTCAAATGTCTCGTGCAGCTTTTTCTGTAGTTCGTTGAGTTTTTGCTTGTCCGTCCAAGAGTTACCTGCAACAATTTTAGGCACCAGCGGCACGGGGAGCGCAGTCAGAAAGAGAGCTGTACCCGTGGCAATTAGCGCTATCATTCGCTCGCCGATGGCCACCTGGGTGCGCAGTCCAAAAATGGCATTCATGCCCTTGGCCTTCAGCTTATTAATTAGCACACGGTGTAGCTCGTATTCCAGAAAGGGCAATCCATCGGAAATATCTTTGGCATTCAGTTCGGCACGCAAATCCCGCTTAGCGCGGACGACTTGGGCCTGCATGAAGCAGCCGCGTCCAGTTACCTGTATGAACTCTGGAACCTCCAGCGTGGCCAGCAGGACATCTGGCACCCGGCCCTTGCGGCAAATGGCGCACTTCTTCATCTTCACCGAGCTCAGGTTGTATGGCACATGGCAGATGGCACAAGTTTTGCGTGGTGCACTGGGAGCTGGCAAGCCGTAGCGCTTGCTTGCCGAACCCGACCCATTAGCTGTAGCCAATGAGCTGCCGTCCTTGCTAGAGGCTGCTGCCTCACTAACACTGCCGTTTGCCTCGCGCTCCTCCAGCGAATTGGACATAGCAGCCATATTGTTGCTTGCCTTGGATATGGCAAAAATATCCGTTTGCGAAACGGACCGTTTAAAGACCATGTTGATGACTGCTGCGGTGCCTGTGGCAGACAAAACGCACACATCTTCACTGTGTAATTAATTATGGATTAGATTACTTGTTTAACTGAGTGTTGATAAAAATTTGATCCTTTAGGCTTACGATATTGTTGTCGACTCCATGTAACCTAGCACCACGTTACAGCCCAAAGAACGGGCATGAGAGCGAATTTCCATGCGCAGCTCAGTCCACCAGCTGTCACGTACCTCAGGCTCATCGGGATTGGGCACACGTTCTAAGAGTTTCACCGACCTGGCCGCTACAGTTGCGCCCAGGTGCAGTATGAAGCCAGTTGGATATTTGGTCATAGTTAGGAATGGGTATTCCAGCATATCTAGACTATCCGTTGCCTTGCTGCCCACTGTGGGTGTGGTTAGGCGCATCATGGCCGTGGCCGCAACCAAACGCTCGCTTGCCACGCAAATGGAGTTGCCTGCCAATGGAATTTACTAATCGTTTAAATCTGTCTCCAAATATAACATTTTTAAACGATGGGTCCACATATTTACAACGTTTAGGCACACATTACATAAAATATGGTATTATAAAAATAATATATCGAAATAGTTAATGCTCAAGGAGATAGTTTTGTTTTGCTTACATCAAGATACATTTTTAATTCCTTGAGTTGTCATATCACCACTTTCAGTGCCAAAACTTCTTTTGAGCAAAATATAATTAAATGTAATTGTATAATCGGCTTCTATGGAAAAGGATTTATGATATGTCAGTCTGTATGTATAAGCAGTCCTTACCCTATATAGTTGATCGAAAGATCTCCTTTAATAATGTGATCAAAAATTACTTTTGTCTTCCAAAAACCAGAAATGCAAAGATAAATGTACAAGTTTTGACGATGCAGACTCCACTATTCCAAAGGCACATTTATATATTTGCCACAATTTTCTCGGAAATTATAACACGGTATATATAGATAAAACTACTTATAGTTTTTTGTTCCCAGTAGTCATTAAGAATAAAACAGGGTAGATCACAGTCGGGGGCTGCAGACTATTAAACGTTTGCTTCATGCAATTTGATTTATTTTATGATGATAAATGGGTTCGATGAACAGATAAGTTTAGAATTTGGCTCTTAAGCTTAAGATACAATTTTTATTTATTCTTTTTCGTTTTATTATAGACATATATGTGTAAATAGAAAGAGAGATGAATGATTTTATTTACTTATATATATATATATATATATATATATATATATATATATATTTATTTATATTTTGCCATCAGTTTAGTTGACTTACATATATATCAAGGCTGAAAACTCAAGAGAGGCTTTGAACATATTTTAACCATGAATTAATATGGTTCTGTTCGGGTCTAGGGCTGATCTTTAGTCAGCAAATGGAAGTTAAGGTTTGGTTCACAGTAATTTCTTTTAAACTGGTCTGATTCAAAAACGGTTTGCAGACTTGATTTATATTTTTAATTTATTAGAAGGAAAGAAAGAGAAAAAGAGTCTAGCTCAGGCGAGGTTTGAGAGAGAGGCAGAGCCTTTTACAACATACAAAGAGCGCACGGATTTTAGCTGCAATCACCCACTCACTAACACACACACATAAAGAGGGGAGAGGTTTGACACACAAATACATTGATAATGGACATCGAGAATGCGAAAGAGACAGGCAGAGAGAGAGAGAGAGAGTAAGACGACAACTACTTACGCTTGCGATGCAATATGTAGGCTATGCCTGGATGGCGTTTGATTCAGCAGCAGGCGCAAAGAGAGAACATTAGAAGAGTTTGTGAGTTACTCAAGAGATGCACGAGACACACAAACACACACACACGCACACACACACACACACACACACACACACACACACACACATTCACAAGGAATAGCAGCAGGGGAAGAACGCTTAGCCTAAATATGTGCACAGGTATTTATAACCTTACTTAGCCTATTCTTAGATGCTATAACTAGTTCAAATAGGAAATGGACAACTACATACCCTTTGGCGTTACGCTCAGATCAGAGTCGGATGAGCGACGACAGATCTCACCCAGCTCTTTGGTCTGCACCATTGTGGTGGCTGTTGAGGTGGTGGATGTGGATGCGCTGTCTGCATTGCCACCGCCCGAATTTCCGCTCTTGGATGGACTAGGCGTTAGCTTCATGCGATTGCTGCTAACCGGCGATGCAAACCTTTTCCCACTCGCATTACTCTCGATTGTCGTAATGGTTGTGGGAATGAGCACGCCCTGTGCCGGCGTCTGTTGCTGCTGTTGGGGCTGCTGCTGCTGCTGAAGCTGCTGAAGATCGCTGCTGGACCTAGTTGAGCGTTGTTGTTGGTTTTGTATGGCAAATGGCGAAACAGAATAGCATGGAGCAAGCAATGATGATTTATTATTGTTGTTACTATGGTTAGTACTATTAGAAATATTTACAACATGATCTAGTCTAAAAACGGGAGGATCATAATATTCAAAGGCTCGCGTCTGTGTAGGCGATAGCTGTGAGCTATTGTCGGATTCAGTTGGAGTGGGTGTCGAGGGGCAAATACACAGCACGGGCGCAACAGGCAGCAACGTGTTCGGAGCTATTGATGATGGCGCTGCTGCTGGGGGTGATGCTGATGGTGCACGGGTATCAAAGTCTACTAATGGTGCAGCATCTAGACAACTAACGCTAACAAAATGGCTAAGCGTGGATTCATAGCTGGGCAAATGATTCAGCTGCAGCATGGATGAGAATGCACTCAGATTTGCACAGGGCCAATCCATGGCACTGCTCGTGGGCAGCTCCGGCTGTGAACTATAATATGACTTGCGCTCCAGTGACGGCTCCAGTGCAGCAGTGGCAAGCAGCAGGGCACGCTTGGGCAGTATTGACTGTCTGGGCATCAAGTGCATCAGTTTCTGCAGACGACGTGAAAAACCCTTCAGATCCTCAAAAAGTGTGTGTCGCTTGGGTTTCAAGTCTAATTGGCTGTTCTCACAGCTGCGCGTCTCGCCGGGCCTAATCCAGTTATCCTGCAAATTATCATCTTCGAACCGTTCGTCTTGCTCTTCTTCATCTTCGCTGGACGCTTCTGCGGCTGCACTGTCAATGCCTGTGGCAAGCGTTTCAGTTATTGACAACGACTCCGTTGAGTCCGTGGAGCACGTGGACTTACGCTGAAATAGATCCATCTCCAGATCCGGTGCCGAGCGAGTGTTCTCTTGATACTCGGGCAGCTGTGGAACCGCTAGTAGGCACATGGTTGGCCCTGCGCCTGTATTATCACTTATGGAACGGGTTATTGCCTGCGTTGACCGCTTGCCCATCGAGTTGCGTGATTTGCGATGACGCTTGCTACTTGGTGCGGCTCCACCAAATAAACTGCTTAGTGATTGAGTGGCATTCTCTGGTATCTTGGGCTCCATGCGACGCAAAAGCGTGGCGTATTTCTCGCTGAAAACATTCCGTGAGGACAATGTCAAACGGTGCATGCGATGTCGCAGCTTCTTCTCCCGCGTCGGCTCCCCACGTTCATCTTCCTGCCTCAACAAATTCTGCATGACATCCCCATCCTCCGTATCGCTGCTGCCGCTCTCCAAATAGAACAACGTTGCCGCCGCCGCTGCTGCTGCTGCCGCCGATCTGGCACTCACACTGGGCTGTTTATATATATTAAGACGATACTGTGGCGAACGGCCGGACAGCGGCAGGCTAGCGCTGCTGCCGCCGGTGCAGTTTAGAAAATCTAAATACTTTTGAGTTCTATGTGTGCTGTTCATGGTTCGGACATATAATTCGGTGGTCGGTTGGGTGGGTGGTGGCGTTTTTAAGTGTTATAAATACGACACAAAAACAACAACGATTGAAGGGGGTGCAATACAACAACATAGATACGACAAGGAGTACAAAACAGGTTTTATACAGAAATGAACGTTAAACGACGATTGAGTTTTTAAATCGTGAACGGCGGGTAAGGGGGAAAACATTCAAGAGAAGAAAATAGAACGCTTTAGAACATATTTTCAGCTTGAGCCACGTGGACCTACAAGCAGACCTACTAAGGGACACAAACTAAATATGCGTGGGGCTTATACGTTTTTATCATGGAATTGTCTTAAGCAAGTGTGATTAGAATTTCAGGTTCGAAATAAAATGTGAATATAATTTTTATATGTACAGTCTTGAAAAAGATTCTTTTCGTATTGGCCATCTTATTTAGAAAGAGAAAATCTCGGACCCCCCATATATTATGTATTATATTCATGACGATAAGTGGAATCGGTAGCAATCTAGCCTGTCAGCTTTAATGTTTTGTATAGGTCCATCTTTTTGACTGAAGTCAGAGTCAAACGAAACGCGTTTTGTACACTCCAACAATGATTTCCGTCGAGCGAGTCAAACATTAAGTTCTTTCTATACTACCGAAACGGCCCGAATAGATAACTATTCCCTATAGTGTTTTATACTGTTTACCTAAGTTATTTGTTGTTATTGGTTATTGGCTGCTTTTTCCGTGTGGTTTTCGAGATAAAAGCATGCACCTTTTACCACTATAGAAGGTGCGTTTCGATTCGTAAGACATTTCCATAATAAAGTTATACTGGAAGCATTTCATTTCATTTCCAAACAAATACTTACTCTTCGATTAGTGCTACATCCGCGCTGGTTGGCTGGCTGCTACTGGTGTCTTTTATCAGTGTTACAGCTGTGCCGACGCCACGTGCGACAACGCCCACATCGCCCTCCAGGTCAAAGCATTGCGTATAACCAATGACAGCATTGGCGCCCATATTAATGGCCTTCAACCCCATCTTTCGCTGCACCTGACCGGACAGCTTGAGAAAAACAACCTGACGTGCCTCGTTGGAAGCGCGCGGTGTACGTATCTTGTCAATCCATTGATATTCCGGATCATCATTGATGACCAGCTCCTCGACAAAGCCATGTATGACCTGCGCACGAAACCCAAAGGGAACACATTGTGCTGGGGGAAGGGAATAGTTATTAGGTTTTCTTAACATGTGAATTCTCTACACACAGTGGAAGAAGGGAATACCACACGAGCTCTGTCGGAACTTGTTGACATCGGAGAACAGATCTACTTTGACAATAACGTTTATTTCACCGCGTATGCCATGCATTGTGTCGAAGACGGGTATCCAGCCAGAGAGCACGGTGCCCTTACCATGGCCCGACTGACTAGAGCTCTCCAGGCACAGCGGATTAAGACTTATGTTAACCTTGCCAATCGCATCATTTGCCGAATAGGTGTCATAGTCCATAAGACGTATTTGCAGTGGCTCGTCCTGCAGCTCGGCGTCATCGACCTCAAAGCGAAACCTGCACAAACCAAAGATCAACTATAACTGAGAGACGAGCAAGTGGTGTCTACATACCAATCGGTGTTCCATGTCGGATTAAGACTTTTCCGAAATACCTCGGTTTTGTGCTCCTTATTAGCCAGCTTAATTTCCACAAATGCGTCGGTTGTCTCGCTGCTCTTGTCCATCACTGGCAGATTACGCGCAGCCTTTATTTTGACGCCCACCTTGCCTGGCATTTTATTGGCTGCTGACGAAACTCACAAAATTCGTAGACTGCCCCGCACAACCAGCACACAGTGTGTGCCCTTTTCGCCAAATATGTCAAATTGAACGTTGTATTCTATTAGTTTAAGTAATGTTTTTCATTTTTTCTAGTGATGTCAGTAATCGCGTAATCGATATTTTCTAACCAATCCTCATCGCTTGAAACTATTGATAACTTTTACGTTATTAACGGTATTCCCCTCTGTTTTTACGAAATATGTATTCCACATTTCACAGTTGAATTGATGTTTTTTGAATGGATATAATAGTAATAAGGAAATGTGGTTTAATGAAACCTATTAGATAGTTGTTGTTATTATGAAATTTGCCATATCCAATAAAATGTTATCTTATGTCCTGGTATTGATTATTATTATACATGTCTTTAAAAACTTTAATAGACTCAAAATGTACAAGTAAATATGTTTACAAAACTAATTTATAGAGCGAATAACTCTACAAAACATTATTGGTTGACATATTCAGATAAGTTTATTCCTACCAATTTGCTGAAATTGAAAATCTAACAGATATTAGGATGAATTAATCATATGATAAGGTGTAATTGTTTTTTGGCAGTCCATATGTTCTGTACATTGCAAGCTTAATACTTAAAAATTAGATTACGAACTATTTTCCAATGCAAAAATCTTTAAAGACCACATCGAGTATATCTTCGCAGCTGACATGTCCAGTGATGCGTTCTATGCAGCGCACAGATTTACGTAGCTGCTGTGCTGCTATGGCCATGTCTGGGTACACATCGGGTTTGTAATCTCGTAGAAATATTTTGATGTGATCAATGCACCGCTCCAATTGCTGTCTGTAACGCGTGTGCGTGATGCGTGGATGTTCCGCCTGCGGTACGCCACATAGCTGTTGTAGCAGCTGTTCTAAGGAGCCCAGAAACTCGGGCAAATTATCTTGCTTGTGGCAAGATAGTGCTAACACATTGTCCAGTTTGCCGAGACGCTGAATTTCCTCCGCTGACAGTGTGTCCGTTTTATTTGCCACTAACTGCAAGCGTTTTCCACTGCACAGCTCAGGCGGTATATCCAGCTCCTCCAAATAGTTATCGATGTGGCCAGTTAGTGCCTCATTGTTTTCCACCTTACGTAAAGCCCTAGCGTCCGTGAGCAACAAAATAAGATCGGACTGGGCTAAGCATTGTTTGGCACGTGCCATGCCTTCCACCTCGATAGTATCTGTGGTGTGCTTGCGAAGGCCTGCTGTGTCCGCAAAGACAACTGGATAGCCGCCAAAGTTATGCATTGTCTCAATAATGTCGCGTGTTGTGCCTGCCTGTTCGGTCACAATGGATACGGCACGCTGGCAAAGTAGATTTAAAAGGCTACTCTTGCCCACATTTGGAGCACCGATGATGACAGTGCGTACACCATCCCGTAGCAGTTCGCCCTGTCTTTGATCATTTAAATGTGCACTTATTTCCCGTTTCACGGCATTAAGTTCCCTGGTCAACTGTACTATAACGCCGCCCTCTATTTGCTCCTCTTCGGCAAAGTCAATATAGGCCTCCAGATGGGCGGCACAACGAATGAGCCGTTTGCGCCAGTTGTCATAGAGTCTACCCAAAGCGCCGGTGCTTTGCAGGAGAGCCTACAGGAGAGTTCACATTAATTTATATAATATATTTGAATATATATGTAATATACCTGTTTGCGCTGTGCCTCCGTTTCGGCGTGTATCAGATCGGCCAAGCCCTCTACTTCGGTTAGATCTAGTTTGCCGCCAAAAAACGCACGCTTTGTAAACTCACCAGGCTGAGCCGGTCTTAGGCCGGGCAATTGGCCAAGTGCATCCAGCATGGCCGCAATAACGGCCAACGAGCCGTGCACCTGAAATTCACAAGCGTCCTCGCCCGTGAACGACGCTGGTCCAGGAAACCAAAGGAGCAGACCACGGTCGATAATCTCTTTGCTGGTGGGATGATAAAACGATTTAAGATATGCCTGTCGCTGCTTTGGCTCGTATTCGCCATTATCAACAATGGCGCGCAGCGCCTGCTTTGTTTGTGGGCCGGAGACACGTATTACGGAGACGCCGCACTTGACGTGGCCCGAACTGAGGCTGTAAATGGTGCATCCACTTGAACTGGCAAACCGTCGAAATACGGCAGAAAATCCATTTGAAACGCTCCTCAACAGCGCCATGGCAGACAAACGGACGATCAAACGAACGATAACGTCAAAAACAAAGAAACAAAAAAACGACGACCAGATGATTTTTGCAAGCGATACTTTTGGCGATAACGAGTAAATGAGTACATATTCGCGACAGCTGTTGCAAGAGCTGCCACATAAATTGCAGAAAATTTGAATTTATTTCGATTTATGATTTTTGATTGTAATCTGGATTAGTTTTCATTTTCATTTCATTTGGTTGTTACATCATCTTCATCGGGTTTGATTTCACTCTTTTTCTTTGGCTTGTAAACCGCTGGCCTACGAGGACATAATTTGTTAGTTCTTGGCGATTTGTCTTTTGGATTTTTCGGTTTGCGTTTCAAACGACGCCAATAATCATAATCCCTTGGTCCTTTAATGGGTAACTTGGGTATCTTTAGCCCTTTTCTGAATAATCCATCTTTGCGAGTGCCTAAACAACGTACAGATTTAAAAATCAATTGTCTACCAATCTGTGCCAGTAGCATTACGATTTTAGCAAACGTAACAAACCAATAGGGAAATATTTGTCCGTGTAAAACAAACAATTTAGAAACAACTAAGCGATTCTGCTTAAATTTAAGCGAAATAAATAAATTTGACATATGACAAACATATTTGGACTTTTTTTTTTGATTTTTTCGATTACCAACACAGGTTCTGAATATAAATCAATTATTTGATGCATGTTTAGTTGAGTTCATACGAAACGCAGGGTATGGCAATATTTAATTTGCAGCGCAGCGGGCAATTTCAAAATTGAGCCATTGCAGCCGGAAAAATTAAGATGCTTCCGCCCCTACTTTAAGCCCACATAACCAACAAATAAGTTAATGCCCAGAGTCGAATTGATAGATCTATTATAAATATGTATGTACATTATATTTACAAATTTAAATACGCGTAATGTATAAATGAAAATTATAACAACATGACTTGAATGTCCTACCAATAAATTTAATGTTCATATTACAATTTAAAAAAACTTTTACATTAGCGTATCGGATTAGTCAGTTAATGGTGCGGTTAGTAATAGAATAATTTCCTTTTTGGATGTTTGCCATTCAAGGATCCTCCTCCAACATGCGGTTGGCTGAAATGCGTTGTTTTACCAAATCTATTACGGTTGATCATGGCGTTATTGTTGTCCCATTGTTTAATAAAATCTGAAGCCTCGTCGTCCCAAGGCTTGGCCGTTTCAGGGCGAGTTCCAGTCTTCCGGCGACAGATTGGAATGTGACCCTCCGATTTAAACATTCTTCGCTGTTTGGGCTTGGGCTCCTCTGGAAATTTTGTCCAAGTGCAATCATATGTACGCTCCCGAAGTTGAGAATGCTTGTAGTGGGAATGATCCAAGCGTTCGTTTTCTACCCAATCACTTTGTTGGTCCTTGTTCTGTTCCCACATCGAGAGACGCTTGCAGGCCTCATATTTCTCTGCCTTTTGACGTTCCCTAAATAATGCTTTCGCGTCCAGGACACGAGGGCTAATACGGTCCAGTGGTACACGCTTGGCAATGTGTCGGGTCTGGGCATGTGCAATTTTCGCGTTTAGCAGCTCCATGCACCGATTCACCATCATCTTGGTACTATTATTGAAGTTTACCATTCTGTAACCGAAAACTAATTAGGGCCACTTCTAACAATAAAATTTACGAAGTTTTTTTTTAAGTTTTGTAATATTTTGTGCCGTGCGGGAATGCCGAAAGTTGTACTTTTTAGAAAGGAGCAATAAATGTAACTGAGGCGAATAAGTGCTAGTTGATGATTACAACGACAGACCATATATCATGGATAACTTGATCTTATATTGTGTTTGTACTGCCTAGATTACTTGAATTAGTATGTTGTATTTGGTGAGGCATTGTTGTACCGGTCACCAGGTTGGACAATTAGCGCACCTATGACAGTCAGTACTAGAGATGGACCAGTGCCGTGTTATCTTTCACTGAGCGATGCCAAACCTGACATGTTTTGTTTTTCGAGCCCGAATTAGGTACAAAAACACTACTGTAATATGAAAATGTAATATTCAGTACAGTACCCACATTAAGGTGCAAGTTTTGTTTACCTTCTCATTTTTTAAAGTTCCACATAACATTTATACAGAAAGCATTAAATTAAAATATTAATGACAAAAGCGGATTAATATCATCAAACTGCCAAAAAAAATGTTTGAGCTACGTGTCGCAAGTTTTGGAAATAGTCGAAAATGGGCCCGTCTCTAGTCCGACAGTTATTTCTTCTGAAGTGCCGACAGACACTCAGTTTAGATTCGTATGTTGACTGCATCAGTATGGGGCGTTTAACACTTGCTCTACTCTCCATACTATTTGGCTATTTTGCTACGGCTTTCGCTGCAGGCAACAAGACAGAGTCGGTGGCGCCTGAGGAGCGCTTACTTTCGCGACGCGTTCGTGCTCTGGTTTTCCCCAATAAGGCCTCTGTGTTGATAACGGCAGCATTGACCAAAATTATTGTAGGCGGCCGACCAAGTGGACTGCAATATAGTTTAGAATTTGATATGTATGTGCCTCTACCGGATACTGTGGAAGGCTGGCGTCCAAAAATACTCCTAGATCATACAGCTAATAAAAAACAACCAGCCACAAAACCAAAACGTCGTTGGGATTGGAATTGGCAGGGATACGGACAGAATAGCACAATTTATAAATATCCTTATCGTAGACCTAATATGTACTATCGTGGACCCTACCAGGCAGAGACCTATACCAAGTAAAGTCCAACTAAAACTTAGCTAAAAAATTTCGCTTTAATATGTATGTTTGTTTTTTTTTTTAAATTTCCGCAGCTATGTTAAACCCAAAGCACACAAGGATTACTTTTATAAAAGCCCTTGGCAAATGAGCGAGCAGCCCTGGCAACGCAGTCATCAGCCCAATGCTGATGAAGAAGTCTATGAATCTTGGGGACATGTGCCCCGATGGAAGCTAAATCGTAGCTATAGAGAACGACGCGCTATCTTTGATCAATTTGAGGCAATGGGAAATTTGTAAGTGTGCTTAAGATAATACGAATTATTTTTTTTAAATTTATAAATTATATTACTACACAAATAATATGCATATTTTATAATAGCTTTCAGATGGACCTAAGATCCTGCATAAAACGAGCCATGTGTGAGTTAAAGGCCAGGTTTAATGAGCACCATGGCCAGGGCATGCTTATGGAGGATCTCCTGCGGATTATATTAACGTGAGGCTTACTACTAGGAGGTGAAATTTTTATGCTAAACGATCCATTTTAGTGTGCCCGAAGAGATAACCGATGTTAAATACCAACATCGCGTGGATGTGCGTGACTGTACTCGTTTCTATGCTGTTTCCTGCCCGTATAGAGTGTTGGAATTTCTGTCATGGAATGTTAGGCATATTTCAAAGAAAAAGTAAGCATTGAGATTACAATCGAACTCAATTTGGTATGTATTCAAAACGATTGCTGAAATGCTCAGTCTACATTTAAAACAGCTGGAAGTCAGTTCACCTTTTCGTTTTATTTAGACGGTTGTGTTTATTTTTTGGAAATTTTTTTCTAAATTCAATACTCAGAATTTCGGACTGTTTAAATTCAAAATAAAAATTAAAACCAAAAAAATTTTGCAAAATGTTTGCCCTCAAATCTTTGGTGAGACGTGGGACGATGAGCAAGTTCCCCAGCTTGCGGGCTATGGTTTCACAGCGTATGAAATCGAAAAAATGTGAACCAAAGTTAGAAAGTATTTGTCCAAAGAAGTTTGATGGCTTCCCATGCGGAAAGCCAGATCTTATGTTGGTCCCACCGCCAAAGGTCAACGAAAGAAGGATATCTAAGCCGCCGTCCATATGGTTGAATCCCTTCTGTGACGAGGAAGCTGTGTACTGTCCATTCAATCCGCGGTTTGATGACATCTACTACGTTGAATCGGATAAGGCTAAGCGCAAGTACTGGCAAACCTGGGTCTCCTGCCCCCCGGTACAGCTCAAGAAAAAGAAGATTTGCTGCTTTGAAAAGGCTAAGGCTGCACCACTGAGGCGCCGCAAGAGCCGCAAGCCCAAAACAGCTTGCCCACAGCCCGAAAATTGCGATTTTAAGGAAAGCCTCGACTGCCCGCGCTTTAAGCGTCGCTGTCACCGAGCGGGTCGCATTCCCCCCGACTGTTTAAAGACGAAAAGGCCACTTATTTGCACAAAGCCTCTAACACCATATCCAGCTTTCTCCGAATGCGTGCGAATGAAGCCCAATGCTTTGCCGTTAAGCGAGTGCATCTGCTGGAAGAAACCCATGCTCTGTGAGGCCTGGGCTGAGTGGCGTCGTCGCAGCATGAGAAAAACGATGAGATAGGACTCGGTGCTGATCAGGACAAAGGCGTGCTTTCTTGGATTAATAAATAAAACCAGCTTCAAAACATGTCAAAAAAAAATGTGTAGCCATATTTTGGTAAACAGATAAAGACACGCCGTCACGTAAATAAGATCTAATTGATTTTTTTTTTTGTAAATGTGTTGGTTATCAGAAAGTCAGCTTCGTAATGTGCGTTAACCAGTTCCAAACTCTTTGATTGCAATCGCTGTAGGTTTTTAAGCAATCGGCTCCGCCACGACCCGCATCTCTAGCATTCAAATACTTTTCGGCGACATTATCAACGGTGGGTCTGTAAAGAAAGGTTGACAATATTATGTATATCACATGCGCATATTCTCTTGTTCTGAAAAATTATTTCTTCAAATAGAATGTGCAAACAGTTTAAAAACTCACATCAGCACTGCGTTGAGAATCTCGCTAAAAATATTGCTATCCTCGAAAGGCAATTGAGAGATTTCACATATGCTGCGTAGCAGACAGCTGGCACCGCGCTCACTACCATCCAACCTGCGGTGAGAAAAAATATTTTGATGAAACAAATCATATAATTCAAATAGGCGAGATCTGCAGACTTACTGTTCCATGCCCGCCTCGATGGTATCATAGAGCCAACTGCGCGTATCGTCCCGATGCAGTGTCGCCTGCATGCCCTTGCGCAACTGACGCGCTGTGGAAACAAATGCTGTTGTATTCCAAAAACTCCACCAATAGATTGGTATGGTTGTGGGTATGTATTGGTTTTGAAAGTTATAAAAGAACCAAAAGGATTGATCCTTATCAACTTGTTTGACGGGATGTGCTACGCCGCTGACGAACTATAAAAACCTTATTTTAGCAATGGTGCGAGACTTTTTATTCGCATGAATTGTGTAAATGACGTACCTTGACAACGCCCTGGCCATTGAAAATAGCCACACGTTTGGCTCGAATAAGTTTGGCTGGCGGATTGGCTCGACTCGAAATCGGCACGGCACTGACGTTACCCTGACTACCATCTGTAATAAAGCTAGGCTTGATGCTGTTCGTATGTGCAGCTACTATTGCCGTTCCGCAAATTACCGCCAGCAGCAGCACATTTAAAATTCTCTGGTCTTGGTTGGGACTCATCTTATTGCTATTAGAACGTTTGACATACTAATGTGGTCGTTGTACCATGTTAGCCATTGAATAGAACTTCAAAAGGCCACGCAACATTTATTTGTTTAAGAAATTGACAGTTGAGCTACACCAACAATAACAGAGCTGTGGTGTTTTGTAGACATATCAACCGTGGTATCAAAAATAATAGTCTAGAAGAATTAAATAAGAAAATCTTTTCTTTTGTTAGAATCTAATAGTGTCTATAATTTGCAATGCCTCCTTTAAAGTTAACAGCCTCTTTAACATGTTGTCAAACCAAAGTCTTAAAAGGCAGCTGACAAGAAAATACTAGTCAATTTATTTTTGTTTTTCATAAATTATGACATGTGCTTCGGAGAATAATTTCATTTTTATCCGTTTCTCAAAAATATATATAAAAAGAAATATATAAAAAAAAGTCATATTCCATGTTCTTTTTAGCTAATATACCTGTCAACAATTTAGCAAGCAGTTCATCCAGCTGTTAACCATTGAAATAAAATACAATTTTGCTGTTTCCATGTTGAACAAATAAACGCTCTGTTTGCGTTCGTTGCAAATGCATTCAATTTGATGTATTCAATATGCCAAATGTAAACAAGAGCTGTTTCTCTTTACTTGGCATGTATATCTATAAAAAGGTATTTCATAGATACTCATTGATTTATCCCTTTCCATTTAAGTCGTCCAGTTCTTGTAGGGTATTACCAGTTCAGTATGCGTGATTTTACCTGCAGGTATAGAATAAATTATGCATTCCATTTTTTTTTTTGTTTTTCAGAAACTGTGTCCCAGTTTCTGCAGCTCTTACGCTTCTAATTGGGACTCACGCAGAACAAATGTTTGACTCATTAACAGTTTGGTTAATTGGAGACCCAAATAGAGAAATCGGAAAACCGGAACGCAGCTTTGCTTATCATGTGTCATATGGATCATATCGAAATGCGACAGCCACAGCAGCACAACTCGAAATCTTTAAACGGGATTCTCGTTGCGATCATCGTTTCGATTTCAATCACAGGCACCTGTGGCCTTTTGCTATTTCCTACATCTACGGTGCTGCAGCTGACGACATCTATGTCGGTGCCTATTGATATACCAGACGCGCGAAAGGTCTTCATGGACTTGGGTTTTCAAATGAATTATAATTTGCCATATGATCTTGCCTCATTCTACAATTCGACCATTTGGTCCAACGAGCTAGAGCGTCGTAAGCGTAATTTAAATAACTTAACAAGCACAGCCATGGATCTACTAGAGGCTGAGCGTGGAGTACATCCCAGGGATTTCACTGCCGGCGAGCTTTATATGGGTATGGAGGGCATATTGGAGGACTACGGCTTTCACAGATCCTGCTTGCTGCGCAGTGTCTGTGAACTGGCACTTCATCCCTTGACGGATAATCACAGTTATAGCTATAGCCTGATCGTTCAGATCATCAGCTTTTTGCTAACGTAAGTGCACTCCACTAAAGTACATAAACATTCGACTGAATACTCTTTCCTACTCATACGATAGGCCTTCGCAGCATGATGGCTTTGGCCCCAACGAAAAGTTATATCAATATCGATATGAACGAGCCGAGAAATTGGGCTTCATCGGCGGTGATTGCCAGCAAGCTTATCCAAAGTGTAAGTTGGATGTGCTCAATATTGTCACTAATCTAGTCGGATGAAATAAAATTACTTTAAATCTATAAATAAATAACTAAGCCAGTTAATGGAAATGGAAAATTGATGGTAGGGTTTAGAATTTGGGCTTATGGGAAGATTCGAGGAATATGCTAAGAAAACATATCCAAACGAAGATATCTAGAGTTACTTTAAAATATATTTAGCAATTATTAAAATACAAGAAGTGAAGATTCGGAAATAGGTTAAGCATGGTTTGAACGTTGATTTTGGTGTTTATTAACGAGTCGATCTTAGTTGCTTTCATGCTAGAGTATGAAATTCGTTCACATAGAGTATTGATTAGGCTAATTTTTTTTTTAATTCAAACTAAAAACTTAAATTTCGAAGACAATTTTAATACAAAATGTATAGATTGATTTTAATAAAACACATGATTCACTACTGTATACTGAAGTGCATAATATATGTAAGATAAAATTGATCTGTGTATTATTATTATTGCATGAGGGGCAACCATTGTTTTAACACTGATTTGTGTAGAATATCTATTCTCTTTCAAATTTCGTGGTCTGTGATAAACAGAGAGTTCGTCGTCCTGATCAATAATTGATATACTTGATTCAGACTTTTGCCAAATTTTAAAGCATTTGTTTATGCATAAAGGGTAAATAATTACGTGTATATAAATGCAAAAAAGATGCAATAGGCGCTTAAAGGATAAAAAAAAGTTATACAAGTCTTCAAATTAATTTTATATTAGTGGATAAGTTTGCTTATGGCACTTAGGAAATCGACCGGACACTGTGTATAAAGTTGGGCACAATCTGCGCCCAAAAAGCCTTGCTGCTCGGCATGCTCATAGATTTCGCGGTAAATAGTTTCGCCTGGTGCAAAGGCCGAATGCAGAGAAGGGCTGAAAGTGTATTGTGAGATATGTGACACATGGCTTCAAAATAGATCCGACTACTTACGTTAGGGTAAATGTCAAGAGAGCCGTCAGCATATTCTGTTCTTCATCATGAAACGGATGTCGAGCCAGTTCGCACACACTACGCAGCAGACAGGCCTCATCGAAGCCATAGCGAGTTAGCATATTTTCGATGCTCATATAGAGCTCCCCAGCGGTAAGATCGCTGGGATGCATATCATTCAGATCAACTGGCATATATTTTTGTGTCTCGTTGCGCAGCTGACGTTTGTCACGTCGGGCAAACTCATCTGGCCAGATGGCAGCCGCGTAAAAACTGGACGGCTTGCTGGGCATTGCGTAGTTCATTTGCAAGCCCCAGTCCCAAAATAATTTGCGTTGCGGTATTACGATCGGCACGGATAAGGCCGCTGTTACCTGGTACACCGACGAGGCCGGAAAGAATAGAGACATTTTGGCTTGGCACTCATACAGCGCTGCCAGCAGACCAAAAATGAAGTGCACACTCTTAAGATACATTTCGTAGTGAGACGAAATGGAACTAAAAACGACATGAAAACGACGATAACAACGCACTGCCCAGCTGAAGTCCAGACAGACCCGAATCAGTTGCTAATGAAACGCACAGACTTTACAGTTTACATCACGTGCTGATTATTCAGTGTATTTAATCATTGTGAAAGATGACATTGCTAATAAGTCTCAAGATATCGTGTTTGCAATGCGCATAGAGCTTGCCGCAATCGTTGCCAAGAAATCCATCAAGCTCTGCCTGTTCGTAGGCCAGCTTATAGACATGCTCACTTTCCAGAAAGCCGTCATGCTGTGTTGGACTGCAATAGAGAAGACAAGATATTCATATATAAAGATGTATCTATTAGATATAACTGGGAGGTCCAAACATACCTCAATATAAACGTCAAAATTTCAATTAATATGTGCTGATGTATATCGTCAAACGGATGCTTAGCCAGTTCACAAACGCTGCGCAATAGGCAGGTCTCATGGAATCCATATGATGTGAATGCATCCTCAATGCTCGCATAAAGCTCACCAGCTGAGAAATCCTTAGGATGTGTTTGTGTCAATGCATTGTAACCATATTTCGCATACAAGCTCAGTTCATTGTTACCAATGCGAGGTAGTTCCCGCTTGGTTTGATAGTTTGCAAAACCCGGCCATATGGGTATGCTGTAAAATGAGCTCAAGTCGCTGGGCAAGTCGTAGGAAATGGCAAAACACCAATCGATCAGTATACGACGTTCCGGATAGAACTCAGCAATAGGCACGGAAACCGATGAGGTGAGCTAACAAGATGAAATTAAAGTTTTGTAAATCAATGGAAAATCAAATTCTTTTTAGTGGCATTACCCGGCCTTGCCCGGGTCAACTGTTTGCACATTTGCACACATTTTATCCTGAAATCAACATCTCAGGCTAAGATATTTAAAAAAGGTTTGTCATCGATTGAATTAAGAACCACAAGATGAAATCAACGTTTTCCCGTCATTCAAATCCCGTGGTATAAGGCTTAATGTCAAAAAAAACTTGTGTTCATAAATTTTTCATCCAAGAGGAATGGATATTGAGAAAATTGTCAAACACGAAATTTCAAAAAAAAAAATGTTCGAAATAAGTTTTAACTTGAAACCCAGCAAATCTTTTACCCCCATTTTCGCCGAGGAGGGGTGGATTTTCGAAAAGTGTCAAAGGCCTCTGACATGAATTTAAGCATTGATCTAAAAGAATCAAATTACCGGGCTCGCGATTTTTGGTAGCTGCAGTTTTAATTTCAGCTTCTTAGCTCTTACGGATTTTTATATAGACATACTCCTGCTTACCCCCAGGGAAGATGATGCCGGATATAATAACGTGCTGGCATATTTGCAGCCAATAAGAATGATTAGTACTTGGCAGGGCAGCCGAGTATGTTCCATATTTCAGACTGAGCGAACTGTTCGGCTTGAATCGGACACCTTTACTGATCAGCCTGTAAATAAAAAATGTTCAAATTGGGTCTCTGGGCTAATGGCATCTAGTTATAAGTACGGTCAATAAATCAAGAAATCAATCAACTCAATGTAAATATTGAACCAATTTGTTCACAGTAAGTACTTACCCTATATGCAAGTGAAGCTTTAAAATCATTTCGTTCTGTGCGTTTGCTCTGCCTTAAATGCTGTACACTCAGTTCTTTGTGTTTTTGGTGCTGCTCAGTTGTAGTCATGGGGAGCTGAGACCTCAACAGACTCAACTGAGATCAGCCTATGAGCGAGTGTTTAGTCGCCGGAAGCGTGCTGTAATCTTTCCTCCTGGCTCATTTTTTAAATTTACTTGCAACTTTAGCAATGGTCTGCTCTCGACCTATCCGCGTGGCATCTCTTTCCAATTGGAGGAAGCCGTTTATTTTCCCATACCTGGCACTAGAGACGATCTGTATCCAAAGCGTTTCCTGCCAAAGAAAACAACAACACCAAAGCCTCTGACAAGCACAACAGATACGTATGTGTATATACCCGGCACCGACTGGCGTTTTAAGGCGCAGACATTGCCAAAGCCGAGGCCAAGACCGTATCAGCCTAATCTTCAGCCTCCCAAGACACAACGTATTGATCCTGACGGGTTTGCCAATCCTCACAAGTGGCAGCAATGGGCAAAGTATGGAGCACACCAGGCTCAAAAATGGGAAGGCAGCGCGAATAAGCACCGCTCGCAAATGACCAACAAGACCAGATGGTCGAAATGGACTACACCTGCGCCGAAATGGACACCTGACTGGACAAGCCACTGGTCCGGAACTAGACCAAACGCAGTTGTCGAATCTCGACATTTTCATGGCCATCGTGACCGAAGGCAGCTCTTCGAACACTTCAGTGGACTTAGTGCACGGTAAGTATGTCTAACCGAATTAATTGGTAGTACATACCCTAGGATAAAAGTCCTTTTCAGCTTTGGAATCGACATCAGGTCCTGCATATTGCGCAGCATATGTGATTCAAAGCGACTTTTATTGCCACCAGGATATTCCATGCTCCAGGATATGCTGCGTTTAGTGTTCACGTGGGTTTATTGAGTGCTGCCTATTTAAAAATGTTCTAATAGGTTCCATGTTCATATTTAGAATGCCCCGACTAGATGGACTGGAGGATGATTATACTCGCGTTATGATGAAGGATGCCGATACCTGTACTCAGGAGTTGAAGACCAAATGCAATATGAACTTATTGATTTGGCTTTTAAGTGGTAGATTGGACAAATAAATGCTGTTAAGAATTAAGATTCAATGAAACTTTAGTTTTAAAAAATAGAATTAATAAATAAATAATATTTTCCTTGAGAAAAGTAGTTTTACATTTTCAATTCAGGATAAAACAGTTATGCTAGACCGAGAATCAACAAAAATCAGAAAAATATCCTCTGTGAATCTACAGAGATCCGAGCTTGCCCTAAGTCATATCGGCCGATCAGTCTCCTGCCTTCCTTGTCCCATAAAGCCTGAGGACTCAAACAGGCTTGGCTAAACATTACCTAAGCCAACTGTGTTGTAATAAAAATGTATGCCATTTTTGATCAAAAAAAAAAAAAAAGATCCGAGCTTTGGAGAGATACAATTATTTCTCTTAATAAAATGTCTCGCTAGCTAGTATTAGGTTAGTAATTAGATTTTTGGTACATGGTCATCCTAAGTTGTATACTTTTTAATAATAGCTATAAATAATCTCCTAAAGCATCATCCTTGTGCAAATAGGTAGAGATGGAACGAGTTATCTAATTGATAAATACTTCCAGGCCCGCATCTCCCAACAACATATTAAATACGGAGAGTTACCCAATTTGAATAGCCCTTAACATGCAATATACCAAAATTTTTATGTTTTTAATGGAAGTATCAAAGAGGATTAACGGGCTCGTATGTGATTCTGAAAATGTTCCTGGACCAAACGAAATTCCCGCACGCTCCTCTACAAATTATATCTATCTATATTTCTTGCAATACCAACCGTATTTAAGCAAACAAATGTCGCTGACTTTTTTTTTTTTTTTAATAAATTCATCAAATTCCTCACTAGATATTTTTCGGGCACATCTATTGTTATTGTTATTTGCTTAAGAATTTACACTCAATCTGAAAAGATAATAGTAACTAGTAAGTGTACTTATTGAATCTACCAGCTGTCGTTAGCTCTCTTTTAACATCTCAATCAGTTATTGTCAGTCATGAGATGCGGTCTCTGGATTCAATTGCTCGGGCAACTGGCATTTTCTCTGGTGGTCTTCGGCGAGCCAAACAGAACGGAGTTAAACCATGTTGTGGAACGTGTTTTCTCACGTCAAAAGCGCTTTGTGTTGTTTCCGAAGGGTTCGAATTTGAAATTTACCGGCTCTATAAGTAAAGGTCTTCTCTCCAGCTTCCCTAAAGGCGTAGCCATGAATATTGAGCAGGCCTGTTACTATCCAGTGCCTTCGAGTCGTGAGGATGTCTATCCGAAACGTTTTCGACCCAGAACAACTACAACTCCAGAGCCCAAAACAACCACAGAGCCAACCTATGTTTGGATAGCTGGTACCGATTGGCGATATAAGGCAACACCAGTTAAGAAGCCCAAGCCATTAAGGTTACATCAACGCATAGACTACAGGCCCCAAACGCCCAACTACGCTGATCCGGTAAAGTGGAAGCAATGGTCGAAGTACAGAGAGCGCTATGAGAATTGGACGCCAGCAAGACCATATTATGAGAAATATAAGCAGTCTGGAACGTGGAGCAAATGGACAACAGCAGCGCCCAATTGGAACAAATATGGCAAGCGTTGGTATAGATCGGTGGAATCGCAACAAGTTGAAAGTCCAGAGGAAGAGCCTTACGATCCCGAAACAGCGCCCTATGAAGCTGTCACCTATCCAGATCTGGAGCACGTCACGGACTGGCAACAATACCATGGACATCGTGATCGTCGGCAGTTGTTCGAGCAATTTGGAGGGTTCAGCAAGCTGTAGGGCATATAGATGCTATTTCCATTTCTAATGCAAAATTATCTTATATCTTCTCCCTTGCAGTCTTGGTATCGATACTAAAGCCTGCATCCTGCGCGCCATATGCGACAGCAAGCGTTTGCTACTGCCACCAGGCTATTCCATGTTGCAGGATATAGTCCGTTTGATCTTTACGTAAGTGATTGCTTTCAATCAAAATATAACGGACATATTATTAAGAACTGAACTTCCATTTAGCCTGCCCACCATTTCAGGCGTGGAGGATGACTACAGTCGTATGATGCGCATGAATGCAGAGGATTGTGACCGACAATTCAGGGGTCAGTGTAAATTAAACGTGTTGGGTGTGTTGCTTGATGGCAAGTGGGGTCATTGAATAAAACGACATTGAGACAAAAATTGGCTTATCTTTATTGTATAAATGGTGCATCCCAGATAGATAGCTTGCACTCGGGATAGAGAGCAGCGCAGTCACCTTTATGGGCATGAGCTTTGTCGTAACGACTATCTCGATAGGCTACGGGCTCATGATCCAACGCCTCTGGTATGGTAAATACCGCACGAAGCAGTTCGCCAGCGAAGCTACCGGGCTCATGCTCATTGGATTTCTGCCCAGTTTCACATAGAGTACGCAGCACGCACTGATGTCCATTGTGACCGCGTCTGAAACACAGAAATATGAGATAGCATCTCATTTTAAAAGTTGATACGAATGAGTGGAGATCCGGGCAAACCGATTGCGATTTCTCAGTCTTCACCTTTCCAGATATTCATTTACGAACTAATGATAATTCTTACTTACTTATCCAGATACTTTTCAATTCTTTCATACAACGTTTGCCGACTGTTCCGATGATATTTGATCTGAATGTTCTCCATTCGGGTTAAGTCAGCATCGGGTACATTGCCAACGCCACTACGTCTGTGACGATGATGCGGATTGGCTGCATCTGGTAAGCTTCGTTTGCCAAATACCGGATATATTTTATGATGACGCGGTGGCTTCGACTTTGCTTTGTACGGGCTCTTCTGCTGCTCATTAGGCTGTGCATAAGAGCCATTTGGCTGGCGAAGATTGTTGGGTGAACTATAGAAGTTATTTCGCTGGCGCACTGCGTTCTTTAAACTTCAGGACAAGAGATTAAAAGAGATGTCAGTATATATTGGGACATTTACTTACTGCGAACTCAAGGCCCAGTAGGGATAGCGAGGGTTCTGGGCCTGATTATGGCGCTGCAAATACTTCTGGAAGGGATTGCGTACGCTGTTCAGTGGACTGCTGTAGTAATAGTGACTATCCTTGCGTCTGGCTGGAACGCTGGGGCGTCGGTAGTAGCTGTCCGCATATTGATAGGTTGGATGCATCGGTGTGCGAAACACTGGTGAGCTGCTATAGTAAGAATTATAAATGCTGCTTCCGCCTGCTCCATTTGACAAGTTAATGTAGTTGGGCTTGTAGCTGTCGTTGTTGGTTTTGTTGTTAGTTGGATTTTGGGCATCATCCACGTAGGTTATGTTGGATACAGTGTCGTTGCGACTAACATCTATTGTGCCATCTTCCAGCTTGTTCAATAGATCCTCAAGCGCTTCACTGGGCGGCTTGCTGGGCAATTCCCAGGCCAGGGCAACGGTAATCCCCAGCACCAGATAGTTGGTGTAGTCAACAACGCAGATGACTTCATCGAAAACTGTGGCCGGAATAAATGAAGCATGTAAATGGCAACGTTTAGGGCCATTGACGACGAGACAGACTCACCCATCTGAAAGGAACTGCCCTCCGGAAATACCAAATAGCGTCGCTTCCTCGAGAGCAGCTCCTGTGCCTGCATTGTTTGGCTCCTGGCCGATTCGTTAAGTTTCGACTCGATGAGCTGCTCAAAATCCGAGTTGCCATCGCTTCCATCAGCATTGTCTACATTTAGCAATGGGCCAAACGTTGGCAGCTCAATGGCACCGCCTCCGGATTTCAGTACATCGCCCTGGCAAACACCTAAGCTGGCCAACAGCAACAGCTGCAGCAGGATTAAGATTGAGGGCTTTCGTGTTGTTTTGTTGTTGATGCACATTTCCTACACTTGTGGTCAACGCGTCGTCCATACGCCAACTGTCAGCCAAAGTTCCCAAATGCTGCGCCAACCAACTGCTCGAAAGACACGGAGAAAAAGCAGCGCCTAGTTCATGGCTGGGCTGTTAATTGCGGCTTGTACCCCGCTTTCCCATCTCTCCACAGAAACTCAGCACATCTACTCAAGCATCTACTCTGTCCGAAGAGAACTTTCAAGTTTGTCTTGGCATGGCTGGTGTAACGTTTGAGAGCTACTTTAAATACTCTTGTGGAGGGTATTCGCACTTTATCATAAAATGAATATCACATTGCAGCAGACATCTTTGACTTCATAAAGTATATATATTCTTGATCAATATCAGCAGCCGAGTCGATAAAGCTATTGTCATGAAACTTTGCATAAAAACTTCTATCTGTTATACGCAGTAAACATGCCGGAATCGATCGGTTCGGGCCATTATAACTCTGCAGTTGTGAGTTTTTATAAATATTTCTACCACAATGCCAAAAGCGAATCAAATCGAACTACCATAGGGTACTTCTAGCTTGGGAAAGCACTTCTTAAAATATATATCTGTGCAAGGGTATTTAATCTCCGGCGTGCCAAAGAAAGTTATTCTATTTTTTCTTATTAGTTTTCACACTTTTCGTCTTTTGCTTTAGCCGAATGCCTCAAGGCCAAGAAGGGTATATCAAATTGTTACAAAACTAATCCAAAAACGTAATGTTAACCGGAATGTAAATGTGTTAGATTGTAAATGTTTTAATCATTAAGATAATCGTCCGAGTCTATTTGCTTTCAATTGGTTTATTTTGGCTTAATAGCTTAGTTCAACTGCAACATTAAACTGTTTACAGGGAAATTCATAAGTCTGTCATACCCTGCTGCAGTAATTTTAATTCATTTTCCCCTCTGTTTTGTTCTGACTAGCAGTTTGTCTTTCACTTTGTCTTTGTTTCGTATGCTCATTGGTCTATTTAAAGGCTCAAATTAGTTTTTCACGCTACCAACTTTTCTGGACAGAACTGGCAAGTTCTTAAGATAAGCCTAATGGGTTAAACAGCTATTAATATTATATTTATTTTGTGACTCCATTAATAGGGTTTGATATTCTCATATTTTTTTATTATTGAATCTTTGCCAAATTAAAGTGATGAGTAAACAGGGAAAACAGACAAGGGAAACGTATCGTAATATCTAAATTTTTCATGGTAATAGAAGGTCTATTTTCATATATTTTTTATTTTATTATTTACAAAATAGAATATAGTTATAAGTTTTTTAACAAAGTTTTTTAAAAATCATTGGCTACTATGGCCTTAGTCTAAGACAATACAATATACATATGCTAACCAGCGGATCGAAATCGGATTCTCTTTGTTCATATTGTTTTTATTGAAAAGAATCTAAACATTAATATGGCGACTATTTGAGATATCTGATTGGACCCAAACCGGAGACCCCAAGATAATCGCATTCATATTTACGCCTCCAAATACAATAATAACTAATAAATCATGAGTATATTTAAGACAACTTTCCTTTATTCCAACCAAAATGTGTGACTGCAATCGCCATAAATTTGTCGACAGTTTCCTTGCTCCTGATGCGCTGCCAGATAATGTGGTGAGATGTGCTTCAGCACTTCGCCAGCTTCGTTGCTGCAGGGCAATTGAAAGATGGCCGACACCAGCTCCATAATAAAGCTCTGGGGCTCAGCTGCCGCCTGCCCCATGCCCGTTTGACGCTGCCCCGATTCGCAGAGTGCCCGCTGAATGCATGCGGTGCCATTGAGCTGTTGCCTGTGGGACACGGATAAGTACAGTGGGTTATGGCTGTGTAAGTCTCTCTGGACAGCACTTACGACTTGTATAATCGTTCGATCTTGCCGAAGAGCAACCCTCGGGAGCTCAGATGCTGATCCAAATGTAGACGCTCGATGACGTCATCCTCTGCTTGGGGCTGAATGTCTCGCCGTCGTCGCCGTCTTCCGAATACTGGATAAATCTGATGCTTTGGTGGTTCCTTTAGCATCTGTCGTGGACGTTGCTGGTGGGTGTAGCTGTTGTAGTATGTGCTATGAGTATGTATGTGTGGCAAGCATTTAATGGTTAAGTAATATTTAGATTATACTGATACTCAAAAAAAAAAAAAACGATCAAAAAAATTATTTGAATTTCTTTGAGCTGAACCGGTTTCAAAGCGAAAATCCAATTTGTAAAAAACAGTCGAAACTTAACCTGAATATAACCACATTTTGTCAAAGGATGTCTTGGTTCAAAATAATTTTTTGTTTGGATAATTGAAAATACTGCACTGCTATTTTGAAAAATTAACTTATTTCGATTAATATGTTGCTTCCTATAAATATTTAATTAGAGATTATTTAAATTGATCTTCTGAAAGATGCATAAGATTTGATTGCCAAGGATCGAATCAAAAGCTGGGTTCATTGATGATGAAAACAGGGTTAAGGCGGGGCGTTTATTCGACCTTCGAAGCGTGAGCCGGAGCACCGAACATTTTTATTGCGTTTTCTTTAATTTAATGCAACTTGTAATATAAAAAAAAAATTTTATTAAATATTCTTTATTTATTGTTGGGAACATTTATATTTATAAGGGGTTGTTTGCATATATACCTTCTCTTTGGCTGCGCGTAGGAGTTCCACTGTTGCTGATTTTTGCGCCAATTTTGCTCAACCCTCTCTTTGTTCCTCTGCCACCAATTGTCTGACCAGTGGTCAGCATTGCCACGTATTTGTTCGGCGGTTGGAGCGTTTGGGGGAGAGTTCGCCCACTGTCGCCACTTTGGTATTGACTGTCGCGTATGCCAATTAGCCGGCCGTCGTGCATACTGTTCTCCATTAGGCGAATTTGCATAAACGGAAGAACCCGTGCCGCTCTGGACATTCGTATAGTACGAGTAACTGTCGACTTTGGATGCAGAACCTGCAGCTGATGCAGGGGCAGACGTTGATGTTGGCTGCGCATGCATTGCCTGCCAATTAATGGCGGTTCGAATGTTGTTCCCGTTCCCCGTTGCGACCGTCCCCAGAACGCTGTCGTTGCGCCGCACCGTTCCCAGGGTGCCATCGTTTAAGCGGGTGCGCAGGTTGTCCAGCAGCTCGCTTGGCGGCTTGCTGGGTAGCTCCCAGGCGACGGCACATGTGATGCCCAGAATTGCGAAATTGGTGTAGTCCACAATGGGTATGATTAAATCGAAGACCAGTTGAAATGAGCTGCCCTCGGGAAACAGCAGATACCGCTTCTGGCGATGCAGCAGCAAAAGCTGTTGACGCGACGAATTCACTGCAAGTGCTGTGGAGGCGTCTTTGCTAGTGAGCACATGTGAAAATGGAGATGTTTCCAATTCATTTGAATCATTTATGTTTGCTCCGGCTTTCAATATCTTATTACTCTGGCACAGCAGCAGCACCAAGATAATGGCCAATGCACAGCCAATCACTATTATAATTGTTTTAGACATTGTTTGGGTCTTACTTTAAATAAAAATACCTTTCGTTACACGTTTGTGACCACACAGACTGTGACAACTTTAGTAAAATTGAAAAAAAAAATAACAATTTACAGAATGTAACTTCTCTAAATACCACAAAAATAATAAAATATTATTATCTGTCTCTAGTACACACGACTTTTAAATTTAATATTAGAATTTGTTATACCCAAACATATTTGTAAATAAGGATTTATGTATGTTATATTTTAATTATTATTTATATGCTGCCATGCAAACGTGACGATGAGCCTGCGTGGCTTAGGCGTCTGTACGTCGAACTAACAAGCGGCAATTCGCCAGTCTGAAGTTGGCGGGTATTACACATAAAATTTCGATACCACTTGGTTATTCATTTGACCCGGGCATGGCAAGGTAATTTTGTTTAGTAAAGTAAAATAAAATAATTAACGATGTAACTTAACATTAGGAATCAAACATCAGATAATATTTTTATAAATAAACAGAATTATTTTAATTTCACTTGAGTTCATTTTGCAATTGTGCAGTTGTTTCGTCGCCGTTCAGACTTATAGATCACACTGAGCAATTGGGCCACCAATTTGTCGAGTTTGCCTTTGAATTAACACAGACTCGCGCATACATTCACAACACATACAATTTGCATAATTTCACTTTGTTGGCGACGCGCCGGGACACTTTTATTTGGTCACATTGCCAATCATGCGTTAAATTAATGCAGTTTTCAACAGTTTAAAATGTTGCAGAATTTCAGTTTGAATGTTTGGAGGCGGGTAGAAGGTTTCGCATGCACAATTAAAACTCGTCCATTTTGAAAGCCTCTTGGGCAATTGGACGCAAATTTATGATGCAGACAATTACCATTAGAGGCGATGAGCTGCGAAGGGATCGGATTTTTCACCTTTTTTTTTTACATCGATGCCATTAGCTGTCAGAGCTGAACTGATACGACAGACTGAGGCCTCTCCGGTTAGTGGTTCGATGGGTTGTCAGCACCGTTTAATTGTACAATTAGCACCCAATTGAGTGTCGTTAAGCGGGCATTTAAAGGTGCGAAATACACTCTGTTCTGGGCCGAAACTGTACGATAATGGTCCCATTGCCGATGGCCATGTGCTCGAACTTAATAATATATTGCAGTACCTGGAGATTTGTAACACTTTGAGAATTACAAAATATAAGTTTTGATTATCGTGTAACATTTTTATGTTGCATATCGTTGTTTTTGAAACATGTGTTATTACCGACCATTTATCGATACAGAGTTTATTTTTAATAACATATTTTGAATAATCAATATGCAAAAAATGGCTGCAAAATTTAATTACTTTTGTGTAATCGGTTTTAAACACTTTATGTGACATTTTAAAAACTTACTTGCTAATTGACATGTAATTTATAGTCTCAATAACTATCAATAATGGGTGCTATAAAAAAAATTATAAGGCTTCGTAAAAATTTTTAATTTAATAATTTAATTTAATACGAAAATTTATTTTTTCTTTCTTTTTCTTTATATTAATGCGACATTCATTTCGGATTAGTGTTTAATATAGAATCATGTATCTACTGAGAAATTGGAATATGCATACCTATTTAAGATCTTGCTAGGTATTCGTCCGTTGTTGGGGCATTATACAGTTTGTATTGTTAACTATTAAAGACCTATCCAAGCTTAGAACAAATATTTCTGTATCTACAAGACAAACATTTGCAAATGATTCTGCCGCGTAGCCCTCATTGAAAGGAAACTACTTGCTGGTGCACGTAAATTGAAGACCCATGCAAACTGCAATTTTCGTTCCCTCATTGGCTTTTAGATACACGCACATGCACACACCCACACCCTCACATAGACACTTAGTCAACACCTCCGCTTAACTTGCCACCCACAGCAATTATCGCACATGCAGGTTTTCCCTCTTTTTTATGTGCACACACAAATACGCCGCACACAAACCAACGTAAATTTAAATTAAAGCAAATTTTCAGCTGCATTTTGTTTGTTTTCTTTTGTTTTTTTTCTAGTTTGCCCCGCTTTTTGGTTGCTCATGTGAGATTTTTGCTAATTTTTACCAAGTTGAACTGTAAACAATGTCAGCATTGTAACCAAATGAAAACAAATGCAGCAAACAAAACACATTGCGCTGCTGCGGGTGGCATTTGTGTAGGGCTAGAGAGGGGGCTGAAGGGGTGTTGTAAATGTTTGTATTAGTTGCTGGTGCTCAGACCCTAACGAACAGCAGTTGCAGTTGCCATCGCAGTCGTTGCAGCAGTCGCAAAAATTTTCGTAGCATGCAAAACATTTGTCAAATGTAAATTAGCAATGGGCCTGGTGCTAGGCAAGGGAGTGGCTGTTGGAGGAGAGTGGGTGCTGCTGCTGCGGTTCATTCTCTTAGCAAGGGGGGGGGGGGGAAGCGGGAAAGAGGCTTTCCGCGGTACAAATCGCATAAAATCACACTTAATGCCCGCAGGCAGCACAGCGAGACGTGAATGTCGCCGGCAAACAAACGTCTACACGTGTAGAAGGGGGTAGGTTGGTCTTTAGCAGGGGTGGTAGTAAAGGGGGGGGGGGAGGGGGCGGACGCTATGTACTTTCAAACACACACCCTATTACAAATACGTACTGCTGCTGGTACTGGCGCAATGTTGCAGACAAATGCGGAAGCACTAACATGGCCCATTCCGTTCCGCTTGCCGCAACCATTCCCAATTTTCAACTTATTTCTTCTATTGTTCCCAATTATCGCACACGGAATACACAAAAGCAATGTTTAATGTTTTTGTTGCAGCAACTTTTGTATGCCGCATGCCGCTCGCCACACCTAAAACTCGACACCCGCTCCAAAGAGCAAGTCAAACTTTAATAAGCGTCATTTCTATTGTTGTTATTGTTGTTGCTGCTGCTGCTTGTTGAAGCGGGTGCTGCCCACATTGCGTATGAGCAATTTACATGTCGAGTGTCAGCTGTGACTCGGTCTGTGTGTCAGTTTGAGTGTGGGTATGTGTGTGTGCTTGTTTATGTTGTAAAACAAAGTTCTCTGTGCTCTCTCAAGCGCATTCCTCAACCAGATAAGAAAATTTGAATTTGGAATTTTTGGCAACAAACTCTCTAATCTTTGTTCCTAGGCAAAACCATAGAGAAATTTATATGTAATTAAATTAATTGTCTGAAGTTTGATTAAATATACTGCCAGCATAAACAGTACCTACTCAATTTAGTGCATTTCTAAAATAAATATATGCAAATGCTTTATATTTTTCATATAAATCAAATAATATAGACAGAGTAAGCTTATTAAATAATACCCTTATAATTTGGCTACCAAAACACTACCATTAAAAAGATTAAAATTCGAATTGGAAAAAGCTACTGAAATTTGAAAATATGTTGGTGAAAATTATATTTTAATAGCTTTAAGCAACAACATAATTTTCATAACAATAATTTAAATTGTAGATGATCACTAAACACAGGCTTTCTGCAAAGTACGTGTATCATTTATAGACAGGTGGCATCTTTATGGTCGGATGGTTTTTAAATATTGTTAAATACAATTTTATTAAATATATTATGTACAATGTAAGCCGTGAAATAGAGTAAGCAGAATACTCAGAAAATTAGTTTACGTTTAAGTTAATTCATTGGTTTTATTATAAATATTTTTGAACAAATTCTTGACAAAGCTTAAGACAGTAAAACCAACCAAAACGAGAAAGAAGAACTATCTTCGGCACGCCGAATACTTAATATCGTTGCAGACCCAACCTCTTCCTAATACTCATTATGCCGAATATGTACAAGATATCTAGATATCTACAAAAAAGTTTTCTATCTAACAACTTAATTTTCGACCGATCGTTCCTATGGCAGCTATATGATATAGTGGTTCGATCCAGCCGGCTCCGACATATGTACTGCGTGCAACAGAAAGAGGGACTTCTGCAAAGCTTCATAAAGATAGCTTTAAAACTAAGAGACGAGTTCGCATAGAAACAGACGTACGGAATGACGGACTTGGCTATATCGACTCGGCAGTTGATACTGATCAATAATATATATACTTTATGGGGTCGGAGATGTCTCCTTCTATGTGTTACATATTTCGAGACAAAATTAAAATACCCTCTGCAAGGTTATAAAAATTCCTATATTCCCGAGAATTGGAATTGAGTTGGAGTTTCGTTGGAATTGGGTTACAATGGATTTCTCTGTCACCTCAGCATATTCTTTTTGAACGTAAAATTTATATTAAACTGATTTTATTTCGTACATATTCATCTTTTGCAGCAAATGTATTTTAACACGAACTAAATATTTGCATAAACTAAAATATATCGAATCGAAACGAAGTAAATAACAATTAATAAGTCTCAGCAATATGCCCTTTAAATACAGAAAAGGACATTTATTTAATAGAATTGAGCTTAAAAGAAGACGAAACTTTTAAAGAATTATTTAAGATTCCGCAAATCGATGAGTGTATTTTGTGGAATATGCATTTTTAAGGAAATAAGAGTTATTGCATAACACCAACTCAAAATATTATTGTGAAAAAATCCTACTACCGAAATATGGCTTATGCGCATACATAAATTTTGTCTTAATCTTATTAAAGACACATTCCACTTTTATTAAAAGTTTTTGTTCTTAAATTATAAAGTAAATTTACTTTAAAGATAAAAGGTTAACAATACCAGTGTGTTTTAACTTTTAATTTACTATATTTGTATTATATAGTCACATTGCAGACACCCAGTACTGCTATAACATACCAAATATACAGTCATAGGGCTTACAAATAATTCAACAAACAAACCTGGTTCAATTCTAATTGTTAATCTTTGAGAACTACTTTAAAAGCATGTGCCATCAATTAGCATCTAAATTTTTAGGTCCAATGAACCAGGTTAAACTTGAAAGCTATGCAAATTAACATCTAGGCGTAAGCTAGAGCTGGTTCAATGAACTGAGCTTGTTAAGAGTATCATAACGGTATTTCATCATCATTTCGAAATAAATATGGCACAGTTGACGGAACGGATTAGCGCCTTTGGTAAAGCACTCCGAAGAAATTAGCAAAATATTTGTGTTTCATATTATTATTATGATTATATAGTGTAAAAGCAACTGAGACTGCGACTGGGACGGATACTGGGATTGAGATTGGGACTGTAAACTTGCTTCGCATTTCATTTTGTTGCTGATGTCAGTCGCCAGTATTTTAATTATGTCAAATTTGTGATGCTTTTCTGTGTGTTGTTGTTTTTGTGCTGTTGGCAGCAGGCAAATGTCAGCAGCTAATTAGAGAGAGTGAGCCAGCGGCGTCGAGCGACTCACTCAATGTCACTCTGCATGGGTATGGTCTTTGCCGTTGTTACAGGTTACCAGAGTCCCCAACTCCCAGCTAGGGATGTGACGACTACAACAACAGCGACAGAGACGTCGATGCCACTTCAGCGCCCGCCTTGGAGGCTGCTGCTGCTGCTTGGCCTTGTCATCATTTGCATAAGAAATTTATCTCAATGAGTAGCTAATTGGGAAATTGCGACATGCCTTGAGCCTCATACCGCCACCAGTTCCCTGACCACCCCTCACACTGTCAACAAAAAGGCTGTACGAATCCTTAGACGTTAGTTTTATTTCTCTAATCCTTGAACTAATTTAGAGAACGAATCATCGCAGCTCCTCAGCTTAGCGTTTTATAATGAAAGGCAGGCATTTTGGTCTTAACAATGCCGACAATTCAAATAGGAGAAAAACTGATTTAATTTAATTATTTAAATCTTTTTTATATTTGCTTTTAAAATAGTCCAAGGACTAGTGAGAAAGATAGTTTGAATTTATAGAATAAACTCTATTCTTTTTAGAATTTGTTTCAACATTCTTTCAAGAGAATAATTGTTACCTTAAATTGTTGATATTTCTTCAATATTAACTTTACGAAATATTCATAAAAAATGTGAGAAGATTGAATATATTAAACTGTATAATATATTTTTTCTGTAAAAAATAGCTGAACGGAAATTAAATATATACAGCACTCAATATGTACTTTTAAAAAATAGACAAATGTTTTTTTGAGGTAATATGTTTATTTTATATTTGCTTGTAAAAATAGTTGAGATAGTACGGAAGATTAAAATTTTTCACGGGCGGGAAATGTTCTCGTTTTATTGATTTAGGGAGACCGGCACTATTGAAGTGGCCAGCATTGTGTGAGCGGGAATGAACATTTGACCAATTGCGAATACACTCAGTGTGATATTATAGGCAGCTTAATTTAGATATACACACTCGCAAACACAATTGGCCAACTGAGTTCATTAGCAGGTCCCCCATTCCCGCTGGCTTCCCCGTTGGCTGTGGGCGCATACATGGCTTGCAGGCCATATCAATGCTCTGGTCTGCCAGCTCCAATTGCCCGATAATGCGAGACAAACCCCAAATTAAATTAATTGCACATTTTAATTGACAACGTATCAAATCAATTTGCATCACAGACGGCGATTAATGTATGAATGCAACCAGATCGAGGCCTGTTTGCCACTTGCCCAGCCTTTTGGCAAGCATAATGAGCTGGAGCTGGCGCTTGTGGCTGTCCATTTAACATTGTTGGGCCTTTGAATGCCAATAAATTAAACCAGGTGTGCAGTGCGGCGTGGTAAGCTCACATATTGTTTGGAGGCAACTAACAGACCCACGGTGCACATAAGCGATTAGATATGAACCCCAACAATGGATCTTTAGAGTTAAGCACCACAATTGTTGCATTAACGAAATATTGTTTTGTATGTTAAAGATTTTAATTGACTTTTAAAAAGGAGTGGGAGATGACGATAAAGCAGAATTGCTGTAGAAATAAATTTTTTAATAGGAACATCTGTAATTCCCCGAAAATTTGAAAAAAATTGCGTTTCGAAGGATATTTTCATATATCTTTTGTTATCTTATGTTAAAGAATACTGCGTTTATTTTTTTCTTGCCATTATTTTTATAAAGAGGACATTAAATAGAACTTATGTTACTTTTCTTTGCTATCCTGTTCATGCTATCCTGTTAATACAATTAAAAACATAATTTGTGCATAAGTGGGGATATTATTGCTTGTCACTCTTAATGTTAAAATGTGTGGTAGCTCATGTGTTTAGAGCTCATGGCAAAAAACCAATTTTTATTTGCCACGGAAAATTGACACTTGACAATGGCAATTCTCAGCATTTAAAGTGCTTTAGAATTAATATTAATTGCTTGAACATGAAACCAAATCAAATAAATAAGTGCGATTCTAGGCCTGGGCATCCGATACTGTTGAATATCAATTTTTTTGGTTGCCAAAAAATGTATAGTTGACAATGCCAATTATCCGCACTTAATGTGCTTTTTAATTAAATTTAATTGCTTTAATAAGCATGAAACAAAATGAATAAAGTGAAAACGGTTCTTATTCTGAACATACTCTTCATTCAAGATGGGAATATACTTGAAGCGATCGTTTGGTATATGGAAATTTATATGGATCAGATTTTTGTTTATGCTTATACCTCATATTCCACACAGGGTTTAACATTTACAATTCCGTAAGTATGTACGAGTATGTACTTTTGCTAAACGTAGTATACAAAATAAACTGTAGCCAAACAAAAACCAAATACTAGAATAAGAAAATATAGGAAAGAAAATTTGGATGTGAGTAGAGGTCAAAAGGTGAAACTTCAAATTTTGAATGCAACTAGGAGTTGGTTTTGGATGTGCTTGGCTGACTGCGACTGCTGCAATTTTCCAGGGCAATTTCTCACACAGCAAGCATAATTATTACTTGATTGAGGCTGCAGAAGTGTGTATGTGTCACTGTGTGTGTCTGTGTGTGTGTGTGTGTGTGTGGGCCAAAGTGCCTGAGAGAAACACAACAAGAGCCTCAACTTTGTATACTTTGTACCTATTAAAAATGCGTTAGAAAGGGTATATGATATTAAGCGTTTCTAGAGACTTGCGCTTTGCGAATTAAGATTAAATATAATTAAATAAATGGAAATATTCATTATCCAGTATTAACGAAATTACAATTATTCTCCTTAAAGAAGTTACATAATCAAGCTAAAATAATGTGATAACGATCGGAATATAAACACCGAAGAATGCATATTTCATGGCATGGGGAGGAGAAAGAAGAAGCAGGGCTTCTATATTATTAACATGCATGCGCGTTGTTGTGTATAGAAGGGTACAGGGTATTTCCCAATCGGGTGCTTCTGACTAGATCACTTTCAGTTTTTTTTTGTTTGTGGTCGTCCCTCTGCCAAAAGCGGAAACTCTTTGTATGCGCAACAAACTTGAAGAGCGCATGCAACAACTACAACAACAGCAAAGGCAATTGTGCTCTTACAACAAAATGCCTGCATGTGCACGCATGCATGCTCGTGTGTGTGTGTGCGCGTGAGTATGCATTTTAACGCCAAAGTATGCGTGCGTGTAATTTATGTTTTCAACTTAATTAAAGTTAATTTTTAATGCTGGGCGTGGACGACAGGACTGCGGGCGTGGACGCGCCAAAGGCGCTTAAAGGCGCTCGCAAACATTTTAACAACACTTGGCATTTCATGCTGGTGACATTAAACAGCATCAGAAGCAGCAACTGCAACTTTTGTCATGCAATGAGGTCAACAATGAGCGTCCGCAATAAGTATGCTATATTTTTTGTACTTGGTTTTCTGCACTGCTCGCCTGTTTCATAAAAACGCCAATTAAATGCATGCTGCTGGTTGTAATAAAAAGGGTCACCTGGAAATGGCACAATTTAATTATAAATAAAAAACAACAGACATTAACTGCTGTGAAAACAACAGATAAAATGCGATCAATAGTTAACTAAGAATTAGTGAACAGGCTATGATATTGAAAAAAAAAAACTATATATATTAGTAATGGGATTACTTATTTCGACTTTATTGGTATTGGCTAAAGAAAATGGAACTTCTCGCTGACCCTACATTTATTTGCTTTTGAAGGCCAGGGATACAAGTTTTTAACAGCTTGTACATTTTGGACGGGGAAAATTTTCTAAAAAAGTAAATATTAAATAATATTAACGTATACAAAATCATTTCAACTGATAAGTCAATTAATTATTGACAGGCAGACTAGCTGATTAGAAATTTACTGAGCAAATTGGCAGACTTATTGACAGACTAACTGATTGATTTATTGACTCTCTAATTGATTGACTATTTTTAAAACCCTCGGATAAATCCATACAGATAACATTTTTGTGCGGATTGACTGACTCATTGATATATATATATATATATATATATTAAAGAGATTAACAATTGACAAGAGAGCCCGACCACATGATACTCATTCCGTAGCGTATATTAATAATAAATATATATATATATATATATATTTTTTTTTAAATATAAATATATATATATTTATATATAATTTTAAAGTAATTATGAATATACGGTACGGAATGAGTATCATGAGGTCGGGCTCTCTTGTCAAAAGCACTCTTGAACTTTTTTTGGCTTTGGACCCCTCCACGTAAAATCAATAAAATTTCTCGGAATCACAAATATAGGTACAAATGAATGTAGAGACATGGTAACTAACTAATTGGTTTCGTTTATTAAAATATTGTGTTCATTGAATTCTTGTTTTAATTAATGGTTATAGCTAAATCAATACGATTAGTTTGAGTAAATTATTCACACAAGATTAAATCACATATTTATTGTTAAACATCATCTGTATATGGTGAAATGCTGTCAAAGCTAAGCGGGCAATGGCTATGCAAAATCTGCTGGCAGTTCTCTTCGCGCAGGAAGGGCATGTGATGCTTCTCGTGTTCATCCAGGCTGTCAAAAAAGAAAAAAAAGAAACAAATTTAATAGTTTACAGTTGGAATGTCAATTTAGGCTTAACTTACGTAAACATATACCTAAATAGTTTATGCAAGAAACCCTGACTATGATCCCCAGCTATTGCTGTGCAGTATGCCTTCAGAACACAGGCCTGACCATCGAAGCCACTACGGTCCATAAGCTCATGGACTAGCTCGTACGTACCCCTTCTGAAGGGGCGATTCGCACGCTTCACTAGGACTGGCGTGTTAGCACGAAACCCATAGCCATGGGCCCAAACTGTTGACTTTGGTATCACATTGTTTTTTACGTTAACGCGGAACTTTCAAATTGAAAAATATATCAGTTGGCTATGGTCAATGGCAAGTGGAGCTGTTGCTGCTCAACTGTTACCTACAAACAAACGAGTTGTCTCTATAATGTCCAGAAAGCGTTTGGGTCGACTGTGCGTTGCATTCTGCTCCAATGCTACAGCCAGGGTGACCACAGCAGCAGTAAGCAACAGAGATACTCGAAGAACGCCCATTCTTGTGGCTGCAGGCGAAGACTTAAACTAAACCTCGAGTGACATGTAAGAAATGTGCCAAATGCACAAGATTCTAGGAGAAGTCAAACTGGTTCTGATTATAACACTGATTGTGACTGTGCTGCTAATTGCTCTAACTCACCAAATTCAAAGTTTTAGTTAGCGCGTAGGAAAATGGTTGACAAAATTAAAAAAAATTTGTAGAAGAAGAATGAAGGCTGTGGATAGCTACTCACATTATGTTCTTTTAAGAAATGGGTATAAAATTAAAAAGTTTAATTTTAGAAAACTCTTTCTAAAAATATATATTTTGGGATAAGTTTTTCAGGATAACTTTTTGTTAAAACAAATCACGAAAATTTTTTTTTTGTATGGTGATTTTTTGAAATCATCTTTACAAATCGACTCACCTTAAGTGAATACATATATGAATAACTTTAAAATTTATTGAGCAATCTTTTGACTTTTGAGAAAGGTGAGTAAAATGCTTAAGATATAATGAGTACCGTGTATAAGCGCATTATTTTTATCTAAGTCTATCTAAATCTAAAACCAGACTGATAATAGACACGTAGTGTGGGAGGGAGCCCGATAGGCGCCCTAACCAAGCAAAGATTACTAGAAAGAATAATATAAGATTGACTGGAGTAACAATGGAGCCTTGTGCCATCATGATGACTCTTAGAATGTTGGTAAAGGGTGGGAACCCTGACTTCTGTCCAAAAACATCAAACAACTCCTGTATAAAAACTAAACTGTTTTCTCGGAAAGAACTGGCCAGCCAGATGGGCAAGTCTCTTTGGGCGCTAACACGTTTTTTGTGGAGTCCACAAGCTGTTTTTACAGATGCGATACTTTCACCATATGTCCGTCACATCCTCTTCCCCCTGCCACTTAAAAGGCATAATCTATATCCCTTTAGTCTTGGTTAAATGAATATTCATATGCTCTTAACTTTTCTTTTCATAAACACACACTCACCTGAATATTAACTTGAGCAGCTTGAACAACATTCCGCTCTTCTGCTGGGGCTTATCCACATCCAAAATTGCCGTACAGAAAGATTTCAATAAACAGGCACGCCCATCAAAGCCGTGGCTAAGCGAAGCAAACTCGATTGAAACACACCCAACAACTCCATTAAAACGGCATGACTTACCCATCTAAGGCATTTTCCAGTTTTGAAAACAAATCGCGTTTGAAGAGGACACGGTTTCCCTTTCGCTGATCCTTGGGCTCGGGAAACGGATAATTGGCACGAAAGCCGAAGCCATAGGCGATTAGTGTGTTGATTTTGAGCAAGTTGTTTTTCGCATTAGTACGCCACTGTAGAGCAAAAAAGTGTATGCGTAAAAGGGGAGTGAAGGGTGGCTGCTTATATAACCCACCGACATACGCGAGCCCTTGGGGAACTCCAGGTAGCGTTTGCCCCGTCTCAGTATCCTGGTGTCATTGTTACCTGTCACCTGGTTAAAGTTGTCATAATGCATGTCAAAGTTGTTGCTATTGCTATCATGGTTGTGGCTGTGACTGGGGTCGGCCATTGCATCAGCAACCGCATCGAAATTGTCAGCACTTTGAACGACAGTTGGGCACATTCCAAACAGAAGCAGCATCAACAGCAGCAGCAGCCGGGTTGCAGCTGATGGGCGGGCTGACAGGCACAACAAGGAGTCGCTGGCTCGGCGCTTGTGCTTGTCAATTGTGCCGCTAATTAATACTCTTCCAGCCGACGACATCATATTACCAACAAAAATGTTCCTTTTTTTTTCTCTCAATTTTACTACAAACTTTTGTTTACATCGTCTTTGGCTTGTGTGATGTTGTGCTCGCAGTTCCGCTCGTGCGACGCGCTTCGGTCCAGTTTTTCCTGATGACTGATATGTCTGGTATATTTTATCAGTTTGACACAAATACCGGCAAAGAGCAACCTGAGCCTCAGTCCCAGCCCCCGCCTGAAAGCCTCAACCCAGCCAAGGCAAACAGACAAATAAGCAAACAACAAAAGTAACCAACTGAGAAGTCGTTGTCCTCAACTCTTTGTTGTTGTTATTATTGTTGGCTTTGCTTATTTACTTATTTATCGCTTTGTGTTGTTGTTGGTGTTGTCACATCGCATGTTTCTGTTTCTGTTCTTACGATTTTTGTGTTTTTTTTCTATTTTTCCCCTACTGGCTATTTGCTGCTTGTATTTAGAAGAGCACCGGACATGCCATCCACTTGTTAACACTTTTTCTCTATCTTCATCTGGCACTACTCTTCATGCTGATTCATGTTGACATGAAGAATTTACCGCGGGAATCATGGGCGCAATAATGAAAGAGGTGTGAAATATGAATCGAGCTTATATCTGTTCAAACTTCGCACTTGATAATAAAGAATTGATAATTGCCTTAATAAAGAATTTTCCAGATGTTCTGTTTTGATAATTAAGGTAGAATACAAATTTTTAAAGTATTTGCACTTCTTTTTGTAAAACGTGTTCTATATATATTCATAACCTAACCTAACTCTTAAGTACGTTTTTAATTTACTAATAAGTGCTATGATAATTATAGATGATTTTAAAGCAGCGATATGCACGCCAGTAAAATAGAGAGAGTGAGATTTAAGGTAGCCAGAAAGAAAGATAGAGAGAGAGACAGTGGAAGAGTGAAAAAAAGAGATTGGGGCAGAACAAGAAAGTAATTTAAATAAGAGTATAAGAAGGGATAAAGTTAATTTTATTGCCAACACAACTTGTGAATAAAATATTTATAATAAAAGCATGAAAATGCAAGTAAGTCTTACTTGAATTCATGAGAATCGCATAAAAGATAACATAATCGCATAACATTTCCGTCTGTCTGTATGAGCTGTCCAATGTCGTTTAGCCTATTTCGTATTTAAGATATCTTTCGTCTTTCCTTTTTTTAAGGTAACTGGTGCAGTTCAGTGTTTGGTTCATAGTAAAAACAGAACTACTGCTTTAGTTACGACTGTTGTAAGCTAAATACCCCCAACTAGGGGGTACACTCGACTAAAGCACATAAAAGATAGCAGGTCGAATTCATATATTGTTCCCTTTCAAAACACATTTATGTCATTTTGAATTCTCGCATAAATGTTAATGATTTAATATACATTTTTATTATTGCTACATAAAGCCACACATCATTAAATTGTCATGACTCAGCTGCTTAGTTTATTAGACGATTTATCTTAGCCCATAGTATATTCCAGGGATCCAAATAATTATATGTTATGCGCTGAGAAAATAATCTTAAGTTTTGTTTTAATAATTTGGAAGAAATAATATTTTTAATAATTATTATTCGTGATAAAAAAGAGGAAATGTATTTGTAAAATTTTGAAAGAATTTTTTTAAGCCATCCCTGGTATGTCCTTAACAAATATTGTCAGCTGTCTATGTCAACTGGAAGTTTCTCAGCGCTTAAATGCTCCACTCAATTTTCACTCAACTGTCATGTCAAGCAATTTTCCGAGCTTGTTGATTGAATTAAATTTCGAAAAGTTTGCCAAATGTATTTGTTGTTGCTTCGCCGCTGTTGTTGTTGTTGTTGTTATTGTTGCTGTTGTTGTGTTTCTTTTCAATTAAATAATGTTCGGGCTTTTGTGCAGGTCGAGGCTCCAGACGGCAACGGACACTGACACATATCCGTCAGCCGCAGCCCGCCTCGTTGAAGCTTTTTTCCACTCTCGGAGCCCGACAACACAGCTAGACCTGGCACCGATTGGACAAAATGGGGTGCACGTCAGCTTTGGAAGAGGGGGAAGGGATGATGTTGAGAAAAATGAATTGCCATTTATAACCCGGTGGCAACAAGTGACCAAGATGCCAGGGGGGACAGATAGGTGAGCGGCCATTAAAACAATTTCATAAGACAATTTTTAGTATTGCAATTTATTGGGCATAATAATTTTTCGGCGGCGTCGAGTATTTTCCAAAAGCCAACTCTAGTAGCGAAAACTGGCAGTTATATTGCTTGGCACAATCAAAATTGTGGGCATGGCGATAGGCATTATCGTAGTGTACAATATCCGAATTTTCGTGTAGCTCTCGCGAAAAAATACGCTGCTTGGGCAGACTGAACGAGAGAGAGAGAAAGGGAGAGATAGAGAGAGAGAACAAAATACATATGTATTATTTAGTTACTCTATTAAATATAACAAGTAAATTTTTGTATTTATATATTAAAATAAGTTTTAGTAGAAGCTCCATTGACCCACCTGAAGATTGTACGCAGCATCTCACCAACCATGTTCATCTTGGTACGCTGGAAATACTGACGACTTTCGCAGAGAGTACGCAAAATGCAATCACGTCCATTGTAACCCATGCTGAAAGTCGAGAAGTGTTTGTAAAAAATTTATTTATTTTCATATTTATGTTTATAAAGTATCGACGACATCTGAAAATTTTATTTAAAATATTGAACTTGAAGATTTATAATCGGATTATATGTATATTAGCCAAAGTCCATTTTTTTCGAATTAAACTGTATAGAAATCAAATCTAAATCATTTGAAAGGGGAAAATGTAAAGGAAATGTATTTGGACTTAATTTAGCGGCTAATTAAGAGTTAACTATATGCTGCCACATTATAAAGCATATTTATAAGATCGACATATTCATTACTTATCAACAATAGCTTCAATATCCTGATAGATTGCACTTCTGGTTCGGCGCCGCAAAACTGCTGCCGTTGTTGGACGCCGCGAGAGGCCGTGCAGGCTCTCCAGGATCCACGTATTGTTGGGCAGATCATAGGCAACGCCCCAATTGAGGCCGAAACTATTGTGGGCATAGTAGGGATTGCCAATGATGCCCACAGTGAAGCACACAGAAACCTGAACATTGAAAATGGCAAAAAATCAGAGATATTATTTCACTTGCTCCGCCGGGTCGAGGCTGATATCCAATGTGACAGTGACACATACGGTAAACGAGGAACCCTCGGGAAAGCTGAGATAGCGCCTGGGCCGGCTCAGTACGCGAACGGACTTCGCCGGCGAGACGGCGGACGGTGCAAATGACGCAGACGTTGTCTTTGCACGTTCCATCATATTCATCAATGTTGGCGTCGGCCATAAATCATTGGAAGCGTTGGTACTGGGAAGTGGCGCGTCGGTTTCATAGCTCACGAGATTGGTTGGCAGCCAAGTGGCTGCATTTGCAGCACTTGTCGTTGCAATTAAATCGTAAATCAAAAACTTGGCAACAATTAAACGATAATTAAACAATACGAGATACGCGTAAATCATGGCCAGGTACGTGCAACACAAGTCGAAACTCTGAATACAACTGCCAGCAGACAACTGCAAACTGCCGCAGACAAAGGCTGAAGAATTGCTGCCAAAGAAATTGCCAAAGTGCAAATGTGCCAATCGACAGTTGGCGTCGGAATCCAAGTTGCAACGCTCGTTGCACTGCAACCACTTCCAGTGGCAGTCACAGTCACGTTTACAATAAACATGGCGCAGACAGACCACACAGCCAGGCATACACACACACACACACACACATTCATTTAGAAGCTGTGGCATACCTAGACAGTTGCTGCACTTTAATTGAATTGCCTGCAACGGTCTCTGGGACGAGGCATCCACCTGCTGGTCGTCGTGGCATGTGTCTTGTGCAAAAATAGTTAACGCCTGTGGCAAAGTCAAAGATGCCGACGCCGACAGCGCCGATGAAGATCGATGGTTTGATTGCCATTCAATTGATGGAGTGGAACAGAAGCTGCCCTAAGTTGGTTAAACTTAACGAATCTTATGCGTTAATAGCTTATAAATGTATATATATATATTGCGACCCATGCTTTTAAAGAACAGCCGAGCAGTTCCTACAGCTTTAATACCAGCAGATGTGAGCATATAATTTGAGGAGCTTTAATGTTTCACAATGTAATCAAAATTTAAAAAATTACAGCAGGTTTGTTCATGTAATGTTTCACAATGTAACCAAAATTTAAAAAATTACAACAGGTTTGTTCTTTTGTAAACAGTTTAGTGTACCTCGATTGTAAAGATTGAATATAATATTTCCTTCAAGCTTTCAGTTCAGTTCAGCAATACTTGCAATTATGTCGACAAATTTGCAGAAGTGTGCGCATAATCCTATTTAGAATAAATAATTCAATTTTATAAGTAGCAGTCCCATCTCTACCTCCTGACGAAAAACGTAATATCAAATATATATTAAGAGTATTATAATGTTTCACAAAATGTGTCCCCCAGGCAGGAAGATTTATATATGATCTGAACAATAAACAACTAGCTGCAAATATATTCTAAAGTCGGACCCTCCTCTGGAGCGGATGACGCTCACGGTTCGCCAAAAGAGTTTTCACTGTACAAGATTGTCTTTCTCCTACTAAAAAATGCACGTTCGTGCGTATGTGCATTTCTTGACATATTAAAGCAATGCAGACCTAGTAATTGTAGTATATCCTCTAGTAATTGTATAATTCAACAGAAATATATAGTTTAGCATAAATTAAACCACACACAAAATTAATTCAAGTATGTTGGCAAAGTTATAAAACTACCCGTGCTCGCATATCGAGAAATGTCAAACAAAGCTTCGTTGTGTGTTGGCCATGTCAGTGGCTGGAAGTGTTGGAACAAGCAAACAAACAAATAACTTCATTAACCCTACATGGCATACAACGCACATACGTATAGTACATACTGCTGTCTTGCTTGGCACAACACACATACACCATATTACAAGGGTGTGCGAGTGTGGCCGGGAGTCTTTTGGGGGGTCCATTAGAACAATGGCGCCCGTAAAGCAGAGGCCAAAGTCGATGACAAAATTGGCAGGCATCAATTGTGGCCGCTAAGCAAAACAGACAATCGAAGCAAAAAAGAAACGACTCGAAACGAATCGATTCGAATGAAAACAATCATAAAATAGTCGTATCCCAATCCCCAGATGAGCACGTGTATAAAAGCCGTGCTTAGGTCAATGGAACAGCCCGCAATAGTTGGCAAAGTTAAAGGCAAATGGGCTGGCCAAATACTTCTGATGCCCACTCGAAGCTTGGGCAGACACTGCAAATGAGGCTAAAATAGACAAAAGCTCTTTGATTACCATGACAATGTCCGTGTGTGTGTTTTGCTTTGATAAGGCCAGGACATTTTACAGATAGAATGTACAAGATATAGTGGGTACTACAAATTCGAAAGATTCATGTATGGAGACGTCACTCCTTCGAGGGCGTTGCACATAATTCTGCCCAATTATGTTCCATTTTGTTATGCATTTTTGCTTGGGTCAATATTAAAGTTGCGCTAAAAGACTTTTCGGATATTAAACTATTTCCGAAGCATACAAAAAGCCAATTTAAATGCTAATATAAAACCCCAACATTTTATTATTATGCCAGCCACACGCATTCACACTAACACACACACATACAAGCACACATACAGCCGCACTCACCCACATAGAATGTTGAAATGCGTGGAGCAGCAAGAGACCTTGGCCATGGGGCAGGTGGGGACTGTAAGAGGGACGACCACTTGGGCTGCGAAAGTTGCCTTGGGTTTGCCCGCACTGTGCGTGATAAGCCAAGTGCTTGGGCTGATTTTGGCACCAGCAAACACAGACACACACGCACATACGGTAATATATATGTTTATATATATAAGTGGGTATAAATCTATATACTCTTACAATCTGAGTGCAAACAGGAACAGAGAATCAATTCGTATACGCACACATTTAAAGTAGCTACATATGATTTTCGTATTGGGATATTTATTGAATGCCCAACATATACCAAGAGCAAATATTAAGTACGAGTGTCCCCTTAACGACTGCATGATGCTCTGCAATATAAGAACAACACACTAACAACATCTACTCGTACGTTCAATTTATAATAACCTGGAAGTGGGGATACAATTTAAATAGTAGTTGTTCGGATCAAATCAAAGAGAGAAATAATCGAACACTCTAAAATATTTATAAAACATTTTTCTGTTTTCACAGTTGTACCTATTGTTAAAATATTTTATAATCTGAAACTGTAACTAAAAAAGTCAAGTCTCTCAAAACTTTGAAAGTATTGAAGCTATGAACAATACTTTTGCATTTTAACAGATAGCCTAACATATTTTATTTTAGTTAAAGTTTCATATTACAAATTACTTTAATCATAATATAATATTTCGATTAAATTATAGTTATTAGGTTTGTTTTTAAAAAGGAAAAAAATAATAAAATATTAAGCTCAATATATGAGGATTAATTATGTAAGCTTTGGGTTAGCTACAGGATAGTTAAATTGGTGGAAATAGGTTTCTGACCGTATGACCTTTAAATACCCTATATAACAGAATAACATCCAGTTGCACAAGGCACATGGCTCACCTGTCTATCATTGTCTCCAAGTTTCCATATAGATCACGTCGATGCCTGCGTTTGATTTTGGCGAGTGCTGTGCCTGGCTTCTTTGTGTTCCAGCCATGGGCATTCTGTAGCACCCATGTGATATTGGGCAAATCGTAGGCAACACCCCAATTCAGACCCATGCTAAGATACAACAAGTTGGGATTACCGAGGACGCCTGTGGTCAGGCAGACTGCAGCCTAAGTTGGTAAAGAATTTGGCTTAAACTATGCAGAAACTTTGATGCTGTTGTGCGTGTGTATTGTCTGTTGTCTGTGCTTTGTGTGTTCACTTACAGATGCCGATGAACCCAACGGAAATGCCACAAAACGTTTCCCCCTCGAGAGTTTACGCTGCGACAATGGCCTCAATGAAGCAGCCGGCGGTGCCAATGGGTCCAGTTCCTCAGCGGCTGCCAACGTGATATTGTTGACATGGTTTTCGTGATTCGTATGCGCATCAATGGACGTTGCCAGCCGCGGCGCTGTGGCAAACACATCCAGGACATCGCTCTTGGCCCATGCATTCAGTGATAGCTCGTACTGGCATTGGCCCAACAACGGCAGCAACAGCAGCTCCAGCAGAGACACCAGCCAAGTGTTTGACATATTCCGGCTGCGTATTTTTTAACAACTGATTTGAAGATTGGGCCTTTGATTTTGAATTTGAGAGGCGGCTTTAGATTTGCCATTCCCATTGATTTGTGGCCTATGCCAAGCTGTTAATTAAATTAGATTGCAAACTGGTTCAGAGCATGACCCGATTCTCGTTGGCCCAGCCAGCGCAGTTAAATCGAACTAATTGCTTGGCCAAACAAACTTGCATTGCGGTCAATCATGGGCCGTACTCCAGGCCCAAATTGACTAGCCACGCAGTGCCTCAAATTCTTGGGCCAACTTTGCTCTTCAGTTCGGCAGGCGCCTGGTTCCGTACTTTAGTCTTTAGCTGTGCGCTTGCAATGGCCAACGTTATAGGAAGTCGCATATTCCGTTTGCTCCTGGCGCTGCTGCTTAGCTTCTCGCTGGCTTTGGTCAGAGCTGGCAATTACAGCAGCAGCTTTGGCTTCAGCTCCAACATCTCCGACAGTTCCAACAGTTCCTGCCGTGCTGTCAGTTATCTCCGTGAGAAACCACTGCATCTGCCGCACTTGCTGCAGCGGCAAAAGCGTTGGCTTATCTTTGAACTGGGCACCTCCGTCACAGTGAGTAACAATGCTTCCAAATGTATATAATCCATGGGAAATCATAAAACGGTTTGACATAATACCGTGTGTGCTTAATGCAGTGTTCCTCAATGTATTTTAAATCCTAACCGAATACAAATCTAAATCCACAAATTTAATAAAAACGTATATAAAGTAAAGTAGTTAAAAGACGTTTGGAAAAAATATCAAAAAATAATCAAATATTTTATTATTATTATTATCGTAATATTAATATTATTTCTATTATTATATAGCAGAAAATAGATAGATTCCTGGTCAGCATCAATAACCGCGTTGATCTAGCCTTGTCCGTATGTATGAACGCCTCTATCTCAGAATTAGCATGAACGAGAGACATGAGGAAATCTCTTAGGTTTTAAGAATTGTCCAGAATAGTACTTATAAACAAATCATTTATATTTCATTTTGTGGCCTTCGGCTAAGACTCTGTGATTCGATCCCGCATCCTCCTAAAATGACTTGATTAAAGGTTATCTAAGAGACTTTGCAATATAATTAATCTGTCAATACCTAGATATTAAATAATATCTTGATCTAACCATTCTGCAGTGTCCAGTATCATTTCATGCTCTTGTGCTTGACAGGTTACGGCCAATTGTGCAAAGGCTTTGGTGGACACCATACCCAGAGGCATGGTACTGCTTGCCGAGGCAACGGCAATTTATGATTTGCCTGGATCGGTTGACGATTGGTTGCCACGTCGCAGGCGCAAGCCCAAGCCCCCACCGCCGCCGCCACCACCACCTCCACCACCACCACCACCGCCAGCTCCAGTTGCTGTTGTACCAGCTCCAGCACCCTTACTCTTTTCACAGCAACCGGTGATTGTTCCTTTAAGTCCTGCCGATCCCGTGCAGTCGTTTTACTTTGCATATCCACACGCAGCGCCGGTTCTGGGTCGCCGCAAGTCCTATGTGAAGCAGGTGCACAGCGGCTGTCCGGCATCCAAGCTAGTAAGAGATGCGTACGGCAACTATTACTGCCGGCCCACAGCAGAGTCACGCCGCCTGCGGCGTGAGCTACAAAGAAATGGAGCCAATCTCCTGAATGACGGGCAGAGTCCACATGGAATGCTGTTCGATTTGCTGGGAATGCTGTCTGCGATGTAAGTACACTAAATATCAAAAGGTCGTGCACTTCTCAATCCAACTCTATCTCTCTCTCTCTCTCTCTCTCTCTCGCTCTCTCTGTCTCTCTATCTCTGTTTCTTTCTCTCCCTCCCTGAAGACATCAGTATGAGCCGCGCTACTGCATCATGCGGACTCTTTGCGAGTCCCGCCATCTGCTGGCACCACCCGGCCAATCGCTGTTTCACGATATTTTTCGCATTCTGCTGCGCTACGTGCATCCGGAGATTGCCCATAAGCCCATATATCGCAAGGCCTTTACCAGTGGACATTCGCTGCATGAGTGCGCACGGTGGTATGGCGCGCACTGTCCACAGAGTTTTTTGCTACACTTCAGCTCACAGTTTCAGAGCAAATTTGCAAATGCATTTAATAAAGCGACCTAAAAGACACAAACAAATACGTTATTTACGCATGGGGAAAGCGTACTGAACTTTGGTTGACCTGCTATGAAATGATGTGTTATAATACTCGTGTACGATTGTTCCTATTTCACATACAGTTAGGAGTATACTGAAATAGGGACTGAAAGATGTTACTAAATGTGTGCATGTAGAAAATTACGAGATAGCCTGTGCTGAAGTCTGAATCGATTTAACCTATATTTTTATTTATAGGTATATAAATATATTCGTAATAATGTGCTCACCCGAAGTTGGACAATTATTTTATTGTAGGAGGGTAACAATCATTGATATACACATTATTAAAACAATGAAATAAGTAAAAAGCGGATTAATAATAACTTAAAAGGTGAGAGAGGGAGACCTAGACTGTAAGAGGGTTTGAGACTGCGACCATAGCTATATTAACGCGTGTGTTTGAACAAGCATAAAAACTAGTATGCTTTGCTTTAGCTTATGAGAATCGCATAGTGGAGCGCTCTAAAAAATATTTTTACTAATTAGAAACACTGCGGAGTAGTTATCAAAAAAGTAATGCAATCTTGGCTTGCGTTTAGTATGAGATATTCTTGTCCGCCAAAGTTAGTATATTTTCATAATAATTGAAACAGTTGCAATCAACAAAATGTATAATACTTATATATTTTTTTCGGCGATTTTGATGTGTTCTCGGTTGCAACAAATCTCTTACCCTTCGATTTTTGCAGAGCACTCGGCAAACACCAATTTTTTAATGCTTGCCAAAAAAATGCCTTTCCATAAATTGGCAACCAAAAAAAAATTTTATTTTATTATGTGTCAGGCCAAAAAGTGCAATTGAATTTCAGTAAATATCCCAAAACTGACATATTTATTGGCATACATTCATGTATACACAAGAAAAAATAAATATTGCGTGTATACATAAATAAATATGTCCGATATACATATATATATATATATATTTTTTTTTTTCATTTTTTAAAAGTTTGAACTATAATTTCTGTTTATTTTTGGCTTTCATTGATTGTAAAAGGCCGAAGTTTAAATGTTGATACAAATTTGCGTGACGCAGTAGTCTATGCCGATGGTATGGACATTTGGGCCATGTCGGAGGCATAACAGTAACCATATAATTGTTAGCCGTTGTGCCACATTTTGCACCATGTCGCTAATGAGCGCACTCAACAACAGTTGAGCTAATAGGCCACTAAAGAGGTAAACACAGGGCCAGCTAAGTGCGGATCAGGTGAGCAGCATTTAAGTAGCCAGGAGGCTGGCCAGTCTCTGTTCGAATGTGATGCTGTCAAAATGATACGCTTAATCCATATTTTACTAAGTGCAATAGTTTTGCTCTCAATGGCACATGCTTCTCTGCCGGAGTTGGGGCATGGGACTGGGGCAGATGCCAATGACACAAGAGCGGTGCCCAAGCTACTTAGTCGTCAAAAGCGTTATTTGGCATTTCCGGAGGGATCGTCGGTTTCGGTGTGAGTGCTGCCAGTTAATGTGAATACAATGGCAACTAACTAAATTCGTCTGGCTAGGCGGCGATTTGCATGACCATCGGTATGATTGGTAATCCCGATGTGGATTATCTTAGCTGGGCCGTCAACTGGGGTGTGGCATATAATCTACCCAATCGTAATTGGGTTATACAGCATGCACATGGCTTTGCCAATCTCACCAAGCCAATGGTGCAGCGCCGGTCGCGACGCAGCTTCTACGATGAGATGCAATCCGCCTTTGATCAGTAAGTATGCCCAATTATTATCTCAACCTAAACTAACACAATTCCATGAAACTTTTTTGAGTAGCATGGGCTTCAATGGACGTGCTTGCCTGGCTCGTGCGCTCTGCGAGAGTGGCAAGTATATGCATGCTCCCGGCCAGCGTGGCAACATGTTGGAGGAGTTGGTGCGCACCGTGCTTAGCATGCCTTCATCGCCAGTGGCAGAACATGAGCCGCAGGCTCATCACCACTATGACCGCATCTATCGACGCTCCAAGCGGAAGTCGCGCGACTGCCACGAGCTTTATCCGGGCTGTCAGTTTTCTCTGTTGGCGCTGGCTCTGGGCAAATATGTGGCAGCCCCTGCGCAGTTTACCAAATATAATTTTATGTGAATAAAACTAAAATAATAAAATAATTTCCATAATTTTTCTAATTGCACACAATATGCAATCCATTTCCAAGAACAGAAAACATTTTATGGTTTTTTTTAAAACAAATTATTTTCATTCTTCTTTATTTAATAACGCGTAACATTTATTTATATAGTAATTGTTTTTCTTGTTTTTATGCATTTGTTTATTTCAGTTTTTAATTTTTGTATATCTTTTATTTGCAATTGTTGCTCTTTTTTATTTCTTCAATATTATGCTAGCCATTTTCTGAGAATCTTAGATCTTAGCTTCAATCCAATTTTCGTTATTAATTTTGTTTGCAAATGCAAATTTTACGTTATACATTTTATATGCTAGCATTTAGTTATTATTTTTGTTATTTTATATAGTTTGTTGTGGTTGTTGTTAAGTTACTTTGTTGCTCAAGTTACATTTTGTGTGCTTGTGACTCTGCGCGTGTCAATTGTATTTTTCTCAGTGTGGTGTGATTCAAAGGAGCTTGGATGCATTTTGTGTATATATGCATATACATACATATTTATGTATGCTTTGTATGTGAAATGTAAATGCAAGTTTTAAAATTTAATTTTTGTTTGGCATTTACCTTGAATATTAATGCGCAAACACATTTGCTTACTTGTTTGTTCATTTTTATTTTGGGCTTCCATGTTTTTGTCTTAATTTGCTGTGTAATTATATTTGTTTAGCCTACGATTAAGCCAAACATTACTTGTTTGTCTCTTTGTTTATTAATTGCAAATATTTTACATACGTTTTTTTTATACTCATAGCTTAATAAACTTACATTTTGTATTTGATTTAACTAAATACTCAATTCAGTTAAAATTGATTTGTGTATAATTTTTGCAAAACTTTTTTTAGTCAGCGCTGAAAACGCCTAACTAAAAATTGGTTTTGTTTTGACATTTCGTTTTGGTGTCAGTTACGGCTATTTTTAATATTTGTGTTTTTTTTTTCTTCTCGTACTTTTATATTTATTGATCAAATATTTTTATTTAGTGTAACATGCGCAATGGCATTTAATATTTAACTTTAATTTGTGGTGTTGTTTTCCCCAGTGAGTAGCAAGATTTTATTTTCTTGTAGTTTGCGTTTTTTTTTTGTAATTTTGTTGGGCTTCTAAGTTAAAAATCTTGTTGCTAAAATTTATAATAATTTTATTTTTTATTGAATTAAGATTGAAATTGCAAAAACTGTTTTTAAAATGTACACAAGAATGCAACATAAGCGCTTTAAACTAATGGCATCTAGCAGTTAATACACAAAATATACACACATATGCCATAATTCATATATATACGTATATAAATATGCATCATGCAAGTACTTATGTACGGCTGATTTAAAAATTACAACTATGTTCATTAACTAAGTAGCTTACACATTTGATTACCGTTTCCTCATTCACATACATACATACACATATACGCACACATACAAATTATTATGCTATTATAAAAATGATGTGATCAAAACATTCTCGTATGCACTTTATACAATTTAAGTATTTGTAGTTGTGTGGATTCGAGCGGTTGTGTGTGTGTGTGTGGGTGTAGATGTGCATTTGAATATTTTTACTGTTTTTTCAACAATTATAAGCTACAAATATGATAAAAATAATACTGAAATTATATTGTGAAGGTTTTTGGAGAATGGGCTTTCTAAATTTGCAAGAGACGAATGAATTATCATTAAATATTTTACCTACATCACCACTTTCTCTCTCTCCCTCGTTCTCTATAACATTTTTTGAAATATTATACAATAGTTGGTTGAATTTGTCAACAAAATGAAATTGTTAAAATTCGTTAATTGCGTTTTGTGGTTTCCGAAAGGTCTGACAATGAGTTTAAGTGGAATGCGTTGAAACATTGCTGATTTTACATGTATTTAGATGTGTGCTGAACATTTGTATTTTTTTTTGTTTGCTATGATTGAAACCTTTTATTCATTGCACTTTTAAAAGTTTTATATATTTTTTTGTTGATATATTTGTGGTGTTTTTGGCAACTCAACGCAAAGTTATCTGTGTGATTATAGCATTAATTGTATGTACACGACGTTAGAGGGGAGGAGGGGGTAGCAAGCAAAAAAGTCTGGAAACATGTGATTTCTATTGTCAGGTACTTAATAAATTTTGAAGACAGTGGGGATTGTATGAATAGAGAGCGATTGGAGGAGATCTTGGCCCTAAAAGTGTGCAATATAGACTTGGCGAGATGAGTTGCCGTGCAGTGCTTTTGTGTGAGTGTGTGTGTGTGTGTGTGTGTGTGTTGTGGCATAAGTTGAATAAATATTTGGTTTTACATTCATCAGCTCCACTGGCCAGTGCGCTTCCAATAATTTGGTTTAGCAATACGCAGACTTTGATTCTTGTTGTGTTTGCTACAAAAGACGACCTTTGATTGGAAGACATCCGATTTTATGTTTTTGAATCTCAGGGTCAAGCCGCATATATATATCAAATACTTATTTTTGGTTTCATAATTTACTTGTTTAATATATTTTGTTAATAACTATTTCACGTTTAACTAATTATGATTATTGTAAGTGCTAAGTGTGGCTCCAAAATTTGCATAAAATGAAACACTTTGTGGTTGTGAGCGCCCTTTCCGAATGATATTTAACTACCAAGCAGTTATATTGATGCTAGTGAACGATTGCCAGAAAATACGCATGAATCCTCACTCAGCTCAGTTACACTTCGCAAACTGGCGACCAATACCAAGTTCGGCAATGTTTCAGTGTTGGAAAGGGCACTGCAGCTGCTTCATCTAAATGGGAGGTGTGTTGTCTAGCAATTGTGTACATGATTTCGTTGTCTGCTGTGATAACTGTACTCAAAATAAGTTTACCTGAAATAAATTCTGGTTGCTCTTTTATCTGTTTTAATTAATGCTTTCAATGTGTTTCGTGCTAATTTGGTCTGACAATAAAGTTATCATATGGGATTTGGATCTAATTTTGTGTCAGAGCCTATTTTTTTCTCTCATATTTGCTTAACTAGTTTGTTGTTTCTGTGTATGTATGTGGGTTGTATGTATTGGTGTTGGTGTAAGTATTGACTATCTTTGATATATACACTTTATGAGTATGTTACTAGGTATATAGTATTATTATGTTATACTTAGCTAGTGGTTGCCTAAGGTATTACGACTTAAACCACAATGTTAACTTCGAGCCCCGTTTTGCAATGTCTGAATTATCGTACGAGTAACTTACTTATCTAGTCGTTTCATTTTGAGTGTGAATCTGAGATACGCAAATTCTGAATGTATATATACATATCTATATATATTTAATGTATATGTATGTATGCAGATATACGAGTATTTTTTAATGTACTTTTTTTGTATTTTATTTTGTCTTATTTGTGGCAGTTTTTTAATTACACGTTTTATTTTGTTACCAATTTCGTTTATTTTTTTTGCTTGCAGTGCTCAAAACTATGCAGCATTATTATTATAATTTTAATTTGCTTTAAATTGTATTCTTGCATTTGTTTTATTTTGTTGTTTTTCACACACTTAACATTTAGCTATAACCTGGAACATTCAACTAAACGCGTTTTAGAAAGGCAAATTCAAAATGTTTGACATTACTAGCATAATTTTCAGTTAAACACGTTGTGCTTACTTTAAATATTATTAACATTAATTATTATTAATTAATTACATACATAAATGCTATTTAATGTGCAAATGAACTGTACAATTATGAATTTGAATTGTACTAACCGACTAACTGACTGACTGACTGTTGAATGACCGATTGTTTGCTTGTGTGTGTGTGTGTTGAGTGTGCACGCGCACAAGCACATACACACACGCACACGCACAAGCCTCTTTGATTATAACCTAAAAACACAACCAATGAGAGCATTTACACGTCCATGTATTTGACTTTTTCGAATCGTCTTCGAATTTGCATAGTTGGTACCATTTTGTTAGAGTTGTATTATTATTTATTTTATTTAAATAGTTGTTTATTTTAAAATTTCTGTATTAATTTTTTTTGTTTTGCAATAGCGTGTCGATTTTCCCAAGTGAAACAATTTACAATAATGGTAGTTGAAATTTAAATTTCTATTTTGCTTGACTTTGAATCGTTCTTTATTCTAACAACTGTTTGAAGCCCAATAATTGTTTTTGAGATACACAATTCAGATGCGATTTTTTTATTCAAATTCGCATTTACGTTATATAGTTTGATTTATTCACAGAAATGTTACGCCATTTACTTGTCATAAGTTTTTTTTCTGTTGCTTCTATTCATAATTAATATTTTTAGTTGATTGTCTAAAACTATAACAAAAATTTGTTAAGCTTAAATTTCTTTTCTTTGCGCTATTTAAAATTGTAACTTTTTCGAAATTAAGTGAAGCTGAATGTGTGCTAGATTTAAGTGCAGAAACTGCACCATTTAACTAGAGAATAAAGCATAGCGCAACACTTCATACGTTCGCCATGGAATGATTTTAATTTAAACCGAAAACTTCAACCTTATTTTGGAATGCACACAGGTAACAAAGCAAGTAGGTCTACACTTAAAAAAGTTTATGTTTTTGAAACTTTTGTATGCATTAACTTTATAAAATTAATTTTCAATGTATAACTAAAAAATTACAAAAAAAAATTGCATTTTATTTACATAAGAACGTGTTTCTGATAACTTTTAGCAAACATTTTTAAAAACTTTGGTAAAATAATTTTTTACAAATGGTTTTCTGAAACACGTGCTAATTTAGAGAATAAATTATATTTGTAGTTTTTTACTGGAGTGATTATTGCTATTATTATTTTTTATATTAGCCAATGGATTTTCCCTGTGAAAAACTAGAACGCATTTTTGATAGATCATCTTTATTTTGCTCTGAGTTTTCTGATTTATCTGATTATTTATTTAGTTCTGCTTTAAGGTTAATACATCCACCGTGTGCAGGTTTTTGCATATATAATTATGTTTTTAAATGTGTATGCATATATATATATATATATATA